TAATCCTATATATTATTTATAACTAAAAGTTTTTACTTTTATTAATATTTAATAGAATATTTCTTTTATTAAGTTTTATATACTATATACTAATAAATTAAATTTAATAGTTTAAAACTTAAAGTATTAATAAATAAAATTTCTTAATTAAGTTATATTTAAGTTAAATTAATTTTTATAAAAACTTTTAATAATAAGCTATAAACTAAGGTAATTAAATTTAATTAAGGATAATATTCTAATTATAAAGTTTAAATATTATTATTAAAAGTTAATATTAATAGTAAAAATAGAAATTATTAATTGTTATTATTATAAACTTTCTAATTAATAAGAAAGTTATTAAATTTTCTTTTAAGTTTTAATCTTATTATTAACTATAAGGAGTAAATAAGTTTATCTTAAAGTTTACCTATTAATAAATAGTATTAAGTTATTAGTTTAAGTTTTTTTAAAGAGTTATAATATAATAAATACTACTTATATAATATTTATTGTATAATAAATAAAGTATTTAATTTTAAAAGATTTATATCTTTTATTAAAATTTTATTTTAATAAACTAATAAATATTTATAAAAGTTACTTTAAGTTAAAATAGCTTTTAATAATTATATATTAGTTAAAAGTTTATTAAAGTAGTTAGGAATATTAAAAAGAACTTTAAGTTAAATTTAAAGACTTTTTAAATATAATTATTATTATAAAACTTTAACTACTTATTAATAAAATAGTAAACCTTTATATTCTATAATAGTTTAACTATAAAATAGTAAATATTTTAATATAATTAAAAACTTTTATAATAAAAATTACTTAATTATTTTATATATAAATATATAATAATAATAATATAAAATTAACTTAATTCTTAAATTAAAATAAAATAATAAAATATATAGTAAGAATATATAAGTATAATTACTATATAATAAAAATAAAATAAATTAATAACTTAATAAATTCCTAATAAATTTATTAAATATTCCTATATAGTAAATCTATTATAAATTTATAATAAATTAATAAATATAATAAATTTATTATAAATTTATAATAAAATAATAAATTTACTATAAATTTATAATAAGATATATTAATTTTAAATATTTTAATTTTAAATATTTATTTAAATAATAAAATTTTATTATATAATAATATTTATTTAAATAATAAGAATTTTATTATATATTAATAAAGTTATATTTATAAATATATATAAAATTAATAAATAAATAAAAACTTTAAATGTAATTAAAATTAATATAAATAAATAATTAAACTTTTAATTTTATTTAAAACTTTTAAAAATATATTTAAAAATTAAAATTATAAAATATTATTATATATTTATTTATTATATATTTAATAACTTAAAAATATTATATATTTTAATTAAATTAAATATAAATATTATTTTAATTTTTATAATTTATAATTAATTATTATATAAAGTAATTATATAATTATTAATATAATTTATATATTATATTTATTTATAATAAATAAATAAAAGGTAAATAATTAAATTTAAAAAAGTATATTAAATTAATTAATTATTAAATTAATTATAAATAAATTAAAGTAAAACTTTAATTTTAAATTTAAAAGTTTATTAATTAAACTATTAATTAAATTAGAATTATAATATATTTTTAAAGTTTTATAAATATAAAGTTATTAAAAGAATAATATTTTTATTATAATTTTTATTTAATTAAAAGTTTTATTTATTAATAAAGTTATTTTAAATTAAATTATTAATTTATTTAAAATTATTATTAAATATATAATTATAATTTAATTTATTTAAATATTTTAAAAATACTTAAAATTAATATTTTATAAATTATTTAAATTATTTAAATTTTAATTCCTTTAATATATAAAATTAAGTTTAAATTATTAATTATTATATAACTTTTATTAGTTAATAAATAGTTATTAATTATTTATTAATTTATATAAATTATTATTATTTAAATAATTAAAATTATAAAAGTTATTATTTTTATATTATTTAATTAATTACTTTAATAATTAGTTTAATAATTCTTTTAATAAATTAATTAATAATTTAATTAATTACTTTAATAATTACTTTAATAATTATTTTAACTATTATTATTTTAATTATTTTAAAACTTTTATTTTATATATTTCTCCTTTTAAATATATAAATAATATATTTTAAAAGTTTATTATAAATATATAAAATTAATATATTTATTATTTAATTAATATTTATTATTTAATTAATATGAAGTTTAATTATTATATAAATTATTTAATTAATATTAAGTTTAATTTAATTAATAAGTTTAAAAATTTAATAAATTTAAAAGTATTAATAAATATATAAAAGAAAGATATTCTTATTATTAATATTTAAAAGTAAAAGTAAGGATATTAATAATATTAATAATTAATTTAATAAATAATAATATTTATATATATTTAAATATATATAAGTAAATAAATTAAATTATAATAAATAAATTATATTATACTTTTATAAGTTTAAATAGTTATTTAATAAAAGATTATTTAATAAAAGTTTTATAATTATTAATATTATAATTTAATATTAAAAGTAAAATAAAAGTGGTTTAATTAAAGTATATTTATTAATTTATTTTTAAAAATATTATAATTACTTTTAAAAGTTTAATTATATAATTTAAAGTTATTATCTTATTATTAAAAGGTTTAATTTTATTAATTAAAGTATTCTTTTAATTTAATAATTATAACTTTATATTTTCTTTAAATAAATATAATAATTAATTAAAAGAAGTTTTAAATAAATATAATAATTAATTAAAAAAGTTTTAAATAAATATATCTTTTAATAAATTAATAAATAGTTATAATATTTAATTTAAATAATAATTATAAATATAACTATAAATATAATTATAAATAAATTAATAATTAATTATAACTTTATATTTATAGATTAATTAATTTTAATAAAATTAATATTATTTAAATATTTATAATAAAAGTATTTTATTAAATTAAAATATTAATTATAGTTACTACTTATAATAAATAAATAAAAGAGTAAGTAAGTAAGTTTAAAAAGAGTATATTAAATTAGTTAGTTATTAAGTTAGCTATAAGTAGGCTAGAGTAAAGGCTCTAACCTTAGGTTTAAAAGCCTACTAACTAAACTACTAACTAAGTTAGAATTATAATACACCCTTAAAGGGCTCCTACATTATTTTATAAATACTAGGTGGGAACGATAGCTACTCCGCCTTTAAGTAGTTATATTAACTAATAGGCTATTAGAATTATAGTGGATTTATTATAGGATGTTTATATGCTGAGTAAGGCGGCTAGCCTTAAGATAAATTTGTGCTCTTCGAAAGGACAACGGTTTAGGTCTTGGCTGCGGTTAACTTGGATCTTTCTACGTCCGAGGGATGCTGCCTCTGAATAATATATTTACTCCGAGACGGCCCTCACACCTGGGCACCTGCTTTTTTGACCCGAACAGACACATGGTTGCCTACCACAACTACCTACCAAGTGTTTTCATTATTCCCCCTTCACATAAGCTTCTCGAGACCTGACATCTGTACTCACCCGCCAGCCATCAATCCCTCCCTGCACATGAATCGTCACGAAACCCTTCCAAAATGACACGCCAGAGACATTCCTAGAAGACCACCATAAAGTGGTGGCAACACAAACACTATAAGGCCACAACGTCAGCCATCAAATACAGAATACTAAAGAAGCTTAATGTCATTAGCTATAATATAGTTTCGCTTCTATTCTATATATATTTAAAGACATATATAGCGCCTTTATATAATAATAATAAGTATTTAAAATTTAAAACTTAGAAAGAATATAATATTAATAATAATAATTATAATATAATAAATATTTATAACTTTAATTTTATAATATATAAATAAAGTTAAAAAATATTATTTTAATAATAATATTAATTAAAATATTATAGAAATATTATATAATAAAATTAAATTTAAAAATATTTATTATATATATAAATTATATTAAAAAAAGTTTAATTAAAAATTATTTATATATATATATAAAGATATATTAATAAAACTTTTATTAAATAAATTAATATTATAACTTTTATTTAAAAGTATAAAACTTATAATTTATATTAATAAATATAAAAAATATCTTTAAAAATATAATTTAAAATAATTTTTATAATTTTATTACTTTTTAACTTTAAGTTTTTTAATTATAATAATAATTAATATTTAAAAGTTATTTATTATAAATTATTTCTTTATTTACATTCCTATAGTTACTCGATTCTCCGGGTGCCATGGCGGTGATTGGCCTCCACGAGGTGATAATAGGAGAATTGAGGCTTGCCCAGTAACAGCCTCGCGAAAGCGTTGCCAGCTTGTTACCGGTACTGACACCAGGAGAGACCGTGCGGAAACCGGATGAAGAGACACGGGTAGTAAGTAGTATGTCGGTCCCAAGTTCAGCCAACATGGTCTATATTGTGGTTAGGAGGTCCGGGCCAAGGGGCTAGGACGATTTGGAGCCAAGCAGCTGGCAGGTCCCGATGGGTGGAGATCATCCCGTCGATACGATGCGGGCTGGCGCGCTCGGCAACAGGGTGACAAGAGTTGGGCGCCGTTTGTTTCTCCAGTCAGCCCAGCTTGCCCAGTCAGCCCAGCGGCAACATTGAAGGCGGGTCGTGGCGAGCATGCAGACGTGGGCGTTGCGGATCAGCAGGGGCAGAGGGGTTGGAGTTGCCCAGGTTGGCAACGTCAAACGCCAAGATGGCAAGGAAGCCTGGAAGCCTCGTGCTGCGGCTCAAGCTTCGTAGGCACCAGAAACAGGAGAAGGGGTTCGGTCGGGGCGGTAGGGATTCACCATCTTGGGACTTGTGCCGACGTCAGAGCAGGAATTCTCTCATTGAAACATCGAATCCTGCCCTCGTCAGAACCTTCTGGACTTTTGTTTCTGGTAGCAATCGAAATCAAAAGCTGGCCGCAGCGTTCGAGTGCTGGCCGCTTCCACACACGGTTGTGATCTGAAACATCCCGGCCGTCTGCAGTTCGAGGGAACCCCGCTAAACTTACTTCGACTTTCTAGACACCACAGCTTCGCCACTCACCCTACCCACGGTTCGACGCCGGGGAGCGGTTGGCTTTTGCGACGTCTACGTCTTGTCATAGATCTTCATCTTGTCGATTGCCAGTCGCCATCCAAGAACATCTCCCTCCGTGTGCTCGCAGTTGAGGATACGTGCCTCGGCGCTTTCCATCCAATCGCTTCAACGACAGTGCAAGTGCCGCAACTGTCACAGCAAGGCTCACCAGCCGTGGCCATTGCCAACCGTCAAGTCACACGCTGACCGGTTGTGCTGGTGTTCCCTCCCTCCATCGCAAACAAGCAGACCATACGTGGGCGCCACGGCACAAGGCATTCTTTTGTCGCTTGTGCGGCCAGGCCCAAGCAGGACATAGTGCTGGCATCCACCAGCCCGTCCATCAAAAGCCACCAGAGACCCGTAGGCCTTTCTGGTGTGGGCCTTCGTGCCTCGTCATATCACATGTCGTCTTGAGCATCTCCAACACCAGAGAGGGTGTTTGTTCACAAGCCTACTCCTTTCCGAATTCCACACGTGTCCGCCATGGCTCTTTCCCCGGTCAGTGCCGAAGAGCGCCAATGGCGCTTGCGACGGCTGGCCCAGGAGTACGACATCAACGACAGCCCAGAGCCAACACCCCGCTACAAGCCAGCAGCTACCCCCTCGCCACTGACACCAAACTTCAAGAACCCCGAGGATGAGCACCGCGCAGACGACCTGCTCAGGCGGAGGAGGCAGGTCAGTTCCCAGGCTAATGGCGACGGTGGTGGTGGTGGTGGTGGTGCTGCGGCTGGAACCAAGAAGAGATCCTTCACTTTGACCCGCAAAGACAGCTTTTCGTCCAAGTTCGCCTCCAAGGAGATTTTCGAAGCCCTGGATGCTCATGTCACAAATGCAGGTGCCCCAGGCGTGGCGGAAGCTCTGATTCACAAGCTACGCATGGCAGGCGGTGACCTCAACCGCGCAAACTCAAAGTCGAAAACGCCTTTTAATCTCAGGAGGAGGAGCATGGACGACCTAGGGCAGGAGCAGAGCCGGATCCTGCAGAAGGCTGTCGAGACCGGCCAAGAAGACATGGTCGACGTCCTCGTACCCCACGCCGAATCAGCGACACTGGACGCTGCATTGCCCCTGGCTATGCGGAGTGGGAACCTCCATATCGTCGAGTCTCTTTTGAGGTACGGGGCCAGCGTGTCACAGACTCCAGAGGGGCAGTTCCAGTTTCGGCAGCTGTGCATTAACGGTGGACAGGCCGAGCTGGTTGGCTTGATTCTGCAGTCTGATGGCAGGCCTCCTCCAGATTGGCTCTCCGGGGCCATGATCGACGCGGCAAGGAAAGGCTGTGCGGGTACTGTCGCCCAACTAAGCCGGTCTGTCGCGGATGGCAGTTTTAATGACGGCGCGGCTCTCATGGAGGCCGTCTCACAGTGCCGGGTCGACATTGCCTTGGCAATTCTTATTGGCAACAAGCCTCCGAACAAGCAATGCCTCAATGAGGCTTTCTACAAGGTCACCTTGAATAACAACATGCTTCCGCCAGAGAAGATCACTCTGACAGACGTGTTGCTCCTCGCCGGCGCCGAGGGTGATGTGGTGTCGGCAGCATTGATCAAGGCCTGCGATGGGCCGTTTTACGAAATGATCGAATTGCTCCTCAGTAATGGCGCCTCGGTCGAGTATCAGAACGCCAAGGTCCTCAGGATTGCAATTGAAAGTGGCAACATGGACCTAGTGGACTTGCTACTAAAGGGCTCGGTCCTAAGCCCCATCCTCGCCGGCCAGCTCATTGAAAGTATAGGGAAGCGCATCGACCCGGAACAAAGACGTATCCTGCTCAGTGCACTGCTTCGGAAGGGCGCAAAGGGGCCACCGCTCGACGAAGCGTTGATCAAGGCGGTGGAAGGTGGAGACAACGAATGTGTCAAGCTCCTACTGACGCCACACTTCCCTGGCTCGGGAAAATTGCAACCAAAAGCAAGCCACGACCTCAAGATGGGGCCCCGATCTATGGTGTTCGAGCGACACGCAACGGCAGATGTGAACTGCAAAGCTGGCTTGGCGCTTTCAAAGGCGGTCTCCTCTGGTAATCTTACCATGGTCGAGTATATTCTCTCGGCGAAGCCAAGCATCGAGACTCTTGTCGCCGTCTTCCCAGGCATAAATCAACTCGATCAAATGCAGCGATACGTGATGACAGAGTCGTTCCTTAACGCTGGCGTCACCGGGCCTTGCGTGCATGCCGCCTTACAACAGGCCATAGATGATTCACCGCCGAGGAGAGACGAGCGTCTCATCAAGATCCTGCTCCAACATGACGTCGATGCGAACGCTGACGATGGCGCACCGATTTTATCAGCAATTGAGCATCTCGATGCCGACCTTTTGGAGGCTTTGCTCAGGAAGCGACCCACAGTGAAGAATGCGGTAGCAGCACTCAAGAAAGCCATGATTGTAGAAGACAAGAGTAAGCGAGCACGAATGGTGAACGCACTTCTCCGGGCCGGTGCAAATGAATCGAAGGAGATAGTTGGCGACTCTTTGATGAAGGCATTACACGAGCAACCTGTGGATACTCGTTTGCTGGTCGTGATTTTGCAACAAGGGCATGCCGACATCAATATGAAAGAAGGCGACCCAGTGACGATTGGTGAGTTAATCCAAGCCGGACCCCCTATAATTTCCTCGCTGACCAGTTGCGTAGCTGTCCGAGATCAAAATCCTCAAGTGCTCGAGCTTGTTCTACAGGCGGGCAAGGCCACACCCGAGACTCTCGACTTAGCCATACAGGCAATGGCCAACGTGCCGTCAAGCCAAGAGAAAGCCACCAAGCTGGATTCGATTGTGAAGCGGGCGAAGCAGAAGGAGTCCCTGAACAGCCTCCTCGCCTTTGAGGTCCAATCAATTCTCAGGGCGCCGCCTCAAAACCGCACCTTGGTTGTCTTGAGGGCACTCCTTGACTTGGGGGTTGATGTCAATACCAACAAGGCCAAAGCACTCCAATATGCTGTGGCTGGCGCAGATTCAAAAATCACCGACGTCCTCCTTGCGGCCAAGCCGAACACCATTTCGCTGGCAGCGGCGATGCCTTTCACCTTCCACATCGCCGATCAAACCGAACGGCTTACTTTCATCCAGAAGCTGCTTCATGCTGGTGCCCCAGCGGTGGAGGTCAACAGGGCTTTGGTTCATGCGATTGCAACGCATCCTGACGACACCGCCCTGATTAATACCCTTCTTGCCAGAGCAGACACCAGCGACGGCGAGGCCTTGATGGTGGCGGTTAGAAAAGTCAACGTGCTCATGGTGGAGATGATCACAATTCGAGGAAGGAAGCACGCGCCGGCCACATTGAATGATGCCTTCAGCGCGGCAATCGGCATCGAAAACAGAGATAATCGGAAGTCGATCTGTGAGCTCCTACTCAGGGCCGGAGCGACAGGCACTGCTATTTCTGACGCCCTTCTCGCTGCCGCTGGCACGGGGGACCTGTCCCTTGGGAAAATGCTCTTGGACCACGGAGGTAGTGTCGACCACCAGGAGGGTCAAGCAGTGGTTGAAGCGTGTCGTGCTGGTTCGCCAGAGGTTCTGAAGATGCTACTATCCAGCAAGAGCGCCATCAAGAAAGAGACTCTCGAGCGTGGCTTCCAAGCTGCTACAGAAGTGGGCGATCTCAACCACCGCGCGGCTGTGTTCCAGCTGTTATTGGACAAGGGCGTCGGCGGGGAAGTATTAGATGCACAGCTGGTGTCCGCCGCTCGCTTCGGCGATGATGCACTGGACCTGGTCCGCCTTCTCCTTCGATATGGTGCGCAAACCGACTACAACGGCGGCGAGGCTGTCTACAATGCTACGAGATGTGCATTCCTGCTCATTCTCCAGTTGATGCTTGGCATCGTTCCAGTGGGCGGAAAGCAAGTCAAGCCTTCGAGTCAGACAATGATTCGCGCCCTCAAGGCAAGCTCGAAGCTAAGCGGCCAGCCGAGATACGAGGTCATGAACTGGCTCTTTGCTGCCGGCCTAACAGTCTGCGACGAGGTGCACGTCTCGCTTGATAAAGCCGTGAACGAGGAGGAGCCCAATATTGACCTGGTCAGGCTGCTTTTACAAAACGGAGCATCGCCACTCGCGAACGGCTGCAAGGCCCTAGTTGATGCCGCGCAAAAAATGAATCTCGCCATACTAGACTTGTTCTTGCAACGCGAAGTCTCGCGGGACGACCTAAGCTGGGCATTCTTACAGACCTTCTCGGCTGCCGATGTGGACAAGTGGTTCACAGAGCCAGGCTTCCAAGTGGCACAACGCCTTCTGGTGAAAGGGGCTCAAGGCGATGGCCCTGCCAGTGCTCTAATAGTCGCGATCGACTATCTGGGCACCGAAAAGGATGAAATAGCTCGGAAGTTTGTGGACCTCCTCATCGAGTACAATGCAGACGTCAATCAGGACCAGGGCGCTGCGCTGATCAAAGCCGCAAAGAGTGCGAATGCTCACCTGATGCGGCAGGTGTTGCAGCAAAAGCCAAACTCAGATTCGGTTTCCATGGCCTTCCCTTATGTATTCGACCACGAGGTGCCAGAGGACCAAGCTCTGGAGCTTATTTCCTTATTTACGGACTACTCTGACGGCGAAACGCGACTAGATGCTATGTTCAACCACCCAGATGCTGAGCCCGTGGTTTTCAAGGCCATCTCACGGTATCCGCGATCCACAACGATTGTCGAGACTTTACTTGATGACGCAGGGTATTATCATGATCAGATGACCAGTGCACGGATTCTACATGAAATCGAAGAAGAGGAGCCTGTGAATCTGCTGCTTTGGTGTCTCCTGCAGCCGCAGAAGAAGGTCAGCAGTAACATCATCAACATGCTCATTGACAGAGGCGCACGCGTTAATTTTGAAGCACAACTCTCGAAGACGACTCCGTTGATGTTGGCTATCAAAGAAAGACGCCATGACATCGTCAAGAAGCTTGTTTTTGCTGGCGCAGAGGTCGATGTGGCCGATGTCACGGGGAACACGCCATTAACACTGGCTACTGAGATCGGCGGAGACCTGGGGACGATGATTATGCAGAACATTCTCGCTGCTGAACCATCGCAGAACGACGGCTCCCTCCACAACGCCGCGAGGGAGCTCAATGTTGCGGCCATGCAAGTGTTAGTCGATCACGGACACGAGATCGACTTCCCCAGTCCAATACACGGTGGCCGGACTGCTCTCGGCGAATTGTGCCTACATGCAGCAGACGGCGGGGCTTTGACTGCGGCCCAGGAAAAGACCATGGAGAAAGCCATGGCATATCTCCTCAAGCAGAATACGGATCTCAGCCTCTTGTCAGATGGAAAATCAGTGCTGCTCCTAGCCATGGAATCGCGTGAACCAATTGTCACAACAAGAGCCCTGCTCAAAGCCGGCATGTGGAAGCACATCAACCGGCCGTTTAACCACTTCACAGATAGCACGTACACCTACTCACCCACGCAATACGTCAAGCGGGTGCTGCCGCAAAGCAACCACTCTGACCAGCTTCTCAATCTCCTCAAAGCGAACCGGGGCCAGGATATATACTACGCGAACGAAGGACCCCAACCGGAGGGCGCGACCGGCTTACCAGACGACATAGTTCGCATCGAGCGCCAGCGGAAGGCACGGCTGGAGCGGATCCAGCTCGAAGCTGAGGACCACTCGCGGAACCTTTCACGCACCAAGGAGTTTGCCGACATCCAGGACCAGATATTTGCACAAAGGGCGCAACTAGAGGACGCACGGTCGCGACAGCAGCGCAGCACGGAGATCGAGGGCATCCGCGAGAGGGCGCAGCTGGAGGAGGAGCTGTTCAACGAGGCGGTACGGCGGCAGCGGGCGGAGAGGGCGGCGGCGATGGAGCACCAGTCGTCCATCACGCAGGCGGCGATCGAGCGCAAACGGTTAGAGGCGGAGACGGAGTTCGAGGCCGAAGGCCGCAGGCAGCTGCAGTTGCTCGAGTACGAGAAAGCTACGGCGGATGCGAGAGAGGAACACGCGCGGCAGATGACGGCCAACCGGGTGGACGAGCGGCAAGCCATTGACCGTCTGGACCGAGAGCACGATTCGAGGATCAAGAACCGCATCGCGCAACAGAAAAAGCTGGTTGATTCGCAAAATCAATTGGCAAACCAGCTTGGCACCGTGGGCATGCCGCAGAGGAGGCAGATTGGCTACATCTCGGGAGAGCTGGACTGATGGTAGCGTGTGGGCCCCCCCGGGGGAACACATTCTCGGCTGCCGAGGCATATAATTACTGGAGCAAGTGGGCGGAAGGAAGGTGTTCAGGATCACGAGGCGAATATCTATGACGAATCTCGTTTTTTTTTTTGTCAATATAGAATCGTGTATAGCGCGTTAGAATCTGGGGATACAGGAAGCGCTGGGTTTCTCTTTTAGTCTTTCCGGCTCTGTCTGCGATAGTCTGGTCGTTTGACGAATCTCATGATGTGATGCCAGCGTCTGCCGTGGTCTTGGTACTACTGGTGATCCACCCCGAGGTTGGCCCGGGCGTTGTGCCTGCTTGAGCCTTAGTCTTGCCTGAAGAGGCGCCGTGCTGGCTGGCATTTGCAGGGCAGTTTGTGACGAGTGACTTTGATGAAGGTGAGGGCGAAAGGAGCAGGCATGCTTCGCCCCAATAGTGGTCCATACCGTCATTGCCGGATGCTTTCGGCCCGGATGAGCTTGGAAACAAGCTTGATTGTTCGCCATAGCCTTGCCTCGAACGTCCCATCAGACAACGTCCTGGGGGGTAGCTTATTGAGATGTAGCCGTTTGGTTGTGCCCTTTACTACAAATGGCTACGGGCTACAGTATTTTCGCGTGAGTTGCAGTGCTGAAGTCGGCCCAACCTGTTGCTGTAGTCATGTGTCGAGGTTATTTTGTGTCATGGGACTCGTTGATGGCTCGACCAACAGGCCAGGGCATCCATCATCCTAGACCCGCCTGCTCCCGTGGGAATGGCGAGATGCGATCAGCTCCTGTTGCTTCCGCTGCACAAAGACACAAAGTGAAGATCTACAGGGTGCAATCTTGTGCGGCGATCGACATGTTATAACAGGTGCAGGGCTGGCAGGCAGGCAGGCAGGTTGTGACAGAGCACGGGACAGAATCTCGGACAGAAGCATGTGAAACTGCCTGATCGCCAGCCGTTCCTGGTCTGCGAGCATGCGAGTGTGTGAGCTGTGGACCACTGCCCTATCTAAGTGAAACGAGCATGCCTGCTCGGCAGCCCGGCCACCCCTTGCGGCCCTTGGCCCGGGTGCTTGCGTCAGCGGGGGGCAGATCTGAAAGCTTGGGGCACGAGTTGAGCGGTGGGTCGGGTGTGGAGGGGCAAGTCGCGACCGCGGTGCCTCTGTGCTTGGGTATCCCAGCCCTGGCTGCCAACTTTGTGGTTGCCCAGTTTCCCAGGTAGGGCGGCAGGTGGAAGGTCTCCAGGTCTCCAGGTCTCCAGGTCTCCTGCTCGTAATGAGTCGGGTGAGGGGCGAGGGCTGTTTTTGATTGCCATCAATTTCAGCCCCGCCAATCCTCCCTCTGCCGCCGCAGCTAGACAAGCTGCCCAGGTACCTTGCCCACCCATGCGCGCGCGAACCTTGCATGCATTGGACCAGGTTGATTGATCGCACTCTTCACACCGTTCCTTAATATTGCCTACCTACGGCCGAGGACGTCAATTGTCGAATATCCCTCACACCACACTCTCTCTGCTCTCTCCCTACACCTTCTCCCGCCGCCTCTTCCCACCAGAACCCCCTCCTTGTCTGGCATCACATCACGACTCGCTCGTCCCGTCCCGCCGCACCAAGCTCGTTGGAATCCACGCCACACAACCCTCTCCGGTCCACCATGGCGCCCGTTGGAACTGTTCTCATCACCGGGTGAGCCCTCCTTCCCCTCTGGCCTGAGCCGCGCGCGACCAGCGAGCGACACTCTACGAGTAGATCTGCCAGGCATCGGCCCAAGACCCGATTATTGACTGTGACTTGCAGTGGCACTGGCTACATCGGCTCCTTCACCTCCCTCGCCCTCCTCGAGAACGGCTACGAGGTGGTGATTGTCGATAACCTCTACAACTCGTCCGAGGTGGCCCTCGACCGCATTGAGCTCATCTGCGGCAAGCGACCAAAGTTCTACAAGGTCGACATCACCGACAAGCCCGCCCTGGACAAGGTCTTTGATGAGAACCCCGAGATCGATAGTGTCATCCACTTCGCCGCCCTCAAGGCAAGTCCACACCGGCCGCGCATCGTCGTGCGGCTGCTGCGCAAGGGAGCGGCCAGAGGAGAGCTAACAACGTGTGCAGGCCGTCGGCGAGTCTGCCGAGATCCCGCTCGAGTACTACCGCGTCAATGTCGGCGGCAGCATCTCCCTGCTGCGCTCCATGACCGACCACAATGTCACCAACATTGTCTTCTCCTCCTCTGCGACCGTCTACGGCGACGCCACCCGTTTCCCCAACATGATCCCCATCCCAGAGAACTGCCCTACCGGCCCGACCAACTCGTACGGTCGCACCAAGTCCATGATCGAGACCGTCATCGAGGACCACATCAACGCCCAGCGCAACAACCTCAAGAAGGCAGGCAAGCCCTACGAGCAGTGGAACGGCGCCAACCTGCGCTACTTCAACCCCTGTGGCGCGCACCCCTCGGGCATCATGGGCGAGGACCCCCAGGGCGTGCCATACAACCTGCTTCCCCTGCTCGGCCAGGTTGCCACCGGCCAGCGCGAGAAGCTGCTGGTGTTTGGCGACGACTACGCCTCCCGTGACGGCACGGCCATCCGCGACTACATCCACGTGTGCGACCTTGCCAAGGGCCACCTGGTGGCGCTGAACTACCTGCGGGAGCACCACCCAGGCGTCAAGGCCTGGAACCTCGGCTCGGGACGTGGCAGCACCGTGTTTGAGATCATCAACGCCTTCAAGGATGTTGTCGGTCGGGATCTCAAGTACGAGGTCGTGGAGAGGAGGCAAGGCGACGTGCTGGACCTGACGGCAAACCCCAGCCTGGCCAACAAGGAGCTGAACTGGAAGACAGAGCTCAAGATGGAGGACGCCTGCTCGGATCTGTGGCGGTGGGTCAGCAACAACCCCCAAGGCTACCGCCAGAGCCCACCGGCGGAACTGCTCGAGGCCCTGAAGAAATAGGCCCGGCAGGGATGTTGGAAGTAGCACGGTTGCGTTCGGAGGGGAAGAATGTGCAAAAGAATAATGAGTGCCGTTTTGGGAATGTGGCAGTCAATGACTGCCGGTGAAGTGGGATTATCATTGTCATGCGGACACAAGGCTGCAAATCAAGGCTGGAGCACCCATAGAATTTGCTTCGACGAGTTAGACGAATAATGGAACTTTTCAAATCATGCCGGTGGCCCCGTGACGAGTCTCAAAGGAGGCTTTTCGGCGAGAGCCTGCCCGTTCGTATCCTAGACAATGTGATGTGGGCAAGCTTTTCCCTCCCCTCCAACCTGGTGTGATATGCTATATGACGATAGGTGTTGGGTACCTACTTCAGTCTTAAGTAGGTAGTCAGTTAATGACATGAAGGTGGCCGTAAGCATAGCACGAGGCCGTCTCCCCAGAGCGAGGAGAGCTACCCCCCACAGTGCTGCTGACTAACCACTTGCACCCAGGCCCACCTAGTCGCGCTGTCTTTACACCTCTTTACACTGCAGATAGATTAGATTACACAGTACATGGGCGACGACACGTCCTAGGCCCAGACGCGTCGCCCGAGGCGCCGTACTGCGTACAGTGAAATGCATTTGCACCGCCGGTTTCGTACAGCATTTGAAGAGACGAACAACAAGATTTCTTCAACACAAAGCCACCCCTGCGAGACGCAAGCCTGCACTTAACGCCCGTTTTCAGTCCACAACAAAGGCTCCTTTGCGCCATGCTACATTCCGCCCGCGCGCGACAGCTGCTTTTCTCGTCCAGGTCGCCCGCTTCTCTCGAGGTCATCATCACCGCTCATGCCCCCGACCCCTGACCTCGTTTTTGATTTGGGATCCGTCTGCCAACAACCACTGCTGCCCGATGTCTTCGCACTGGAAAGTCATCCATCGCTGTCTGTGACCGGACCTGATCTCAACACTCTTGCACCTTTCTCTTTGCACATCCAACCTCCGCCGCCCATATTCACGAAGGTGTTTGGTCTCGATTTTCGAGGTGAGTTTTGGCGGCCTTGAGCTTCCCCCCATTGCCCCCAGGCAACACAAGGTTTATGCCTGATCTCTCATCGTTACTGCAACCATCTTTCATGTGTCGTCTCACTTGCCGCAAACAAACAAAATCTGACTAGCCACAGGAAGACCTCGTTCTTGCTCGGCAACAAATATCTCGGGGGCTCCATCCATTGAACCGCCATCATGCCGCCTAGGCAAGGTCGTGGCGCCCGCTCGGGAGACACCCCAGGGGCGCCTGACCCATCGCCAAGAGCGCAGAGGACTCCAGGACCGTCCAGGTTGAGTACCGCGTATGGATCTCCCGCGCAGCTCGCCCCGTCCCGCGCCTCCGTGCAAACAACGAATGTCGGCATGGGCGATGCCATCAGATCCGTGCAACAACATAACCCAGACGCACAGAGAGGCAGAAGGAGTCAACGGAACCGAGGCTCTGCGGTCCCTCCTGCAAACCCTCCTGCGCCGCCTCCTCAACCTCCGCTTCCTCAACCTCCGCTTCCTCCACTTCCACCCCCAGGACCGGCAGGCAACAACAACAACAACAACGGTATGCTTCCTGGCTCTCTCTGCTCTTGTTATTTTGTCTACAAGCTTCGTAATTGTATCTAACCCCGTTACAAATAGGGTCAGTTGGTGGACGGGCAAGGACCGCCCAACCTGATGCCAACAATCCGAGGGCATATCGATTCATGTCGGTACCACTTCACTCTGATACTCCGTCTCACAGAAGCTTCATTGAGGAGAGCGAACTCTACCAAAATGCAAACGTCGGGACACCGGGATCATCCAGACCACCCCGACAACAGCCAACTGCTGCGTCGCATTCTGGATCGGATTCCATCGATGACAATGACGACGAGGATCCACTACAACGCGGTACGCCTAGCGGTTCGAGGGTCAGTAGAGATCCAACGACGATCTCACGTCCTCCACCGAGCTATCGGCCAATCAGCTGGGCCGATCGCTTCACACAAGGTGGTGGATTCGGAGGAACAGCTCCTGGCCCGCCTCCGGATACCACCGCCACTCCTACAGGAGATGATACTAGAGTTCCAGGACTTCCACCCCCTGGAGGGCTACCTACCCCGAGTGACAATTCAGGGGTGACACCGACCGGAGGCCAAGGCACCCCCATACAGCAAAATGATGGAGTTCCGGGCACTGGATTGTTGAACATCCCCGGACGCAACACGAGACCCCCACCCTTTAATCCTCCAACAGGAGGACCAGCCACCGGAGATCAACCAGGTACTGTGACTTGGGAGAGTTTGGGGGTACCCACCCCTGGAGCACCCACCCCTGGAGCACCCATCACTGGAGCACCCATCACTGGAGCACCCATCACTGGAGCACCCATCACTAGAGCACCCATCACTGGAGCACCCATCACTGGAGCACCAATCACTGGAGGGCCTGGTACTGGGACAACCGGTACCGGAGGAAACGGTATGGTGCCCGGCCCTCCTGGCCCTCCTGGCCCTTCTGTCCCTCCTGTTATTCCTGGCCAGCGACGCTCTAACAGAGGTAACCAGCAAGCGCCTGATCGAGGCACCAATCAAGGCTCTAACGACGGCGCTCAGCAAGGGGGTAGTGAAGGAACGCAGGGCCCTAGGGGACCGCCAGGAGCACCAGGACAGCCCGGGCTACCGGGACTACAAGGACAGCAAGGGCCGCGCGGTCAGCAAGGACAGAAGGGAGACAAGGGAGAGCAGGGACAGCAGGGACAGCAGGGACAGCAGGGACCACAAGGGCCGGCGGGGCCACGGGGGCCGCCAGGGCCGCCAGGGCCAGCAGGCAACGGCACCGATCTCCCACCAGACGTTTTGTTTGAGGCCGACAATGTCATCGCTCGAAGCCTCAATTGGCTGTACGAGGCTCTCAACATTGGCCAGTTGCCACGTTGGCTTAGCACACCACTGCAAATGTTCGCCCTCTTCACCTTGGTCATGTGGCTCCTGTTGATCCTTATCGAGCTTTTCGTCCCTGCGGTTGGATGGGACGGCATCGTGGTCAACAAACGCTTTGAGTATCATGGGAATTCGCTTGTGGGTTGGAGGCAAAACATCATGCAGTTTGTACCGTGGATCTTGCTGCATCCTCTTGCTACTGTGACCGGCAATCTGGACTACGCAGACTATCGCACCACCATAAACTGGTTGCAATTGAACCAAGATGCCACTGGGAAGAAAGTGGACACTCTCACAGAGGCCGTCGGACAGCTGCGCAGGATTCTTCCAGAGCTCATCAAGGTGGACGCTGGCATCGCTACGTCCGAGTGGAAAGTCGAGGACACTTTTTGGCATGCCTTGAATGACGAGATGAAGAAGGGAGGCTTACTGTGGCATCTGCTCAGCATGCACAAAGGGGAGAATGGTTCTTATACCATCTCAGACGCGCACTGGGATGCCATCAAGCAACGACTACGTGAGGAGGACTCGACTTCTCACCAGTCAGGGAATGATGACCCACTGGCGCTGAGCAACGAGGTCATGAGATACGTGGACTTGTCCGTGTCCAAATCTTTCCGGGATTGGCTCTCCAAAAACGCAGATGACGTGCGCAAGGCACAGGGCACTGAAAAGGGGGAGCCAAGTGCCTCTTACTCAGAACTCTTTGGTCAGGTTGACAAGGCAGTCGACCAACGGCTCAAGGAGATGAATTTGGAGGCCCGGGTCGTCACCAGAGAAGAGTTCATATCCAAGTTGGAAGGGCATTTCCGCAACCACAGTGCCACCGTCGAGAAGGAGCTGGCGGCTATGAATGACAAGATCTCGCAAGCACTGGGCATTGCTCGGGATGCCAAGAGTTCTGCCAATCTTCCCCCTGGTCTGAGCCGCTCCGAAGTCGAGAGCCTTGTGGGCGAGATGGTGCGCCGGGCCGTTGGAGAAGCCCAGTTGGAGGCCTTGGCCAGGGGTACTATCAAGTCCCATTTCAGCACCGAGCTTCTCACTCAAAAGAACTACTTCAGCACCCTTCGAGGATGTCTTATCGATCCGCACCTGACTTCAGCTACGTATGACTGGAGGGCGAAGAGGGATGCGGTGAAGCAAGACGAGCCAAAACCCAGATCCTGGAGCTTCAGTGACTGGATACTTGGGGGGGATCCTGCGGTATTCCGCCCCGGGAGAAAGTTCACCGGCATGTCCTTTGCTCCGGCCGCTGCGCTAGAAAGATGGCACGACGACGGGGAGTGCTGGTGTGCGGCGCACGAGAATGGCACGCAAATCGCAGACCTGTCGATCTACACTGCCGAGGTTCTCATTCCGCAATACCTGGTTGTGGAACACATCAGCCGCGATTCTACTTTCGACCCGGGGTCCACGCCCAAAGACATCGAGTTCTGGGTCAAGGCCCCGGGCGACAGCAGTCAGCGGCCCCTGGACGAATGGAGCAAGAACAAGTGGACCGAACCCCCTACGATTCCAGCAATGAAGCTCCAAGAGAAGGGTTTCGTCAAGGTCGGAGAATTTGAATTCGACTCGGGAGGAGGAAAGGGCGAGACCCAGGTCTTCAAGCTGCCCAAAGAGCTGGAGGACTTTGGGGTAAGGACCCAGCAGGTGTTGGTGCGCTCCAACAGCAACTATGGAGCAAGCGACCACACCTGTTTCTACAGGCTGCGACTCTTTGGCCTGAAGCCGGACGGGGATAGCAACAAGCCAGAGGCGGGTGACCCAGAGCACAAGGACCTTTGACAGGCTTTTCCTTTGTAACAGGAGGATAGAAGCTCGAGAGAGGGCGTTTGCTATTTTGGCACCCAGCACGATGGATGGATGACCCGTTGGTGCACACGAGCAGAGATGATGCCCTCGAGCTTGGGGGATGGGGGGGATGGAGGAAATGGAGAGGAAATGGAGAGGGGGCGTTGGTCGTGTGCCACTCGGGAATAGGGTGAGGGTGCTTGACCAGGGCGTTTGTCGGCAATACCCTTCGGTCTTGTATATTGGGTTATTGTACACTGATCTACCTCAAAGTTGGTCCTTTGCAATGCTGGTGAGCGGTCGTCTTGACAGCTTGAGGAAGACGGAAGTCGGGAACGATTATGAAGGCCATATATCACCTCGACCCGAGTAGACAGAAGAATCATAGAGTTGGCATTTCTTTGCTTCTTTCTTTTGATGAGCACAGCAATGATTTGATCGAGGTGGATTGGGAACCCAAGCTTATTACCATGGCCCAAAACAGCACACCCATGAATAAACATGGTATCTCTTTAGACGCAACGGCGTGCCCTCCTGAATCACCAACAATTAGAGGTGCAGAATTGTTTAATGAGCCCTTGCTCGCAAGTATTCGGCAGCGCCTGGGGGCGCCCCGCTGGATATGGCGGAAAATAGTGTATGATCTCTATGCACAAAATGAAAGACCCGCTGAGTGAAATGATGACAGTCAGACCACAACCAACACCACCACCACCACCACCAAGCCCGCCCCCCCCGGGGGCACCTTATCTAACCCGTTTCCACTTGATGGCCCCTGGCTCTGCAGAAGCTGGGGCCTGGGCGGAGGCCCTCATCTGTCACGGCCTAACCTCTCCTCGTCATCGTCGACCAGCTCATAGGCGGGCCTGAAACCTTGGGGGTCGCCGGACCCGCCGGGCTGCCTCTTGAGGAGAGGATTGGGATGTGTGTCTTTGGTGCCGCCTAATGAGGTGTATCCCTGGTCGTATAGTGATATGTAGGGGATGCCGAGGTGGCGGAGGAACTAGATGTGTGTCTGTCAGCCAGGGGTTTGTGCTGCCTCGCGAGGGGAAGCACATTTACTCACGGCCCAGATCTCGGCGTAGTGCCAGTCGATGACGGGGTGGACGCGCACAAAGGCGGGCCAGTCGCCGTCGGTGGGGTCGAAGTGGGTCAGGTCGGCGCCGTGGGGGTCTGTCCTGCGGGTGCCGACGAAGACGGCCCTGAGGCGGGGCCTGTCGCGCAGGTAGGCGTCGAGGGCGGCGCGCATGGGCAGGGCGTAGCGGCACAGGTCGAGGTGGTATGCGGCGGCCGAGTGCTCGACGAAGGCGTCGACCTCGGCGAAGGGGTCGGGGGCCACGATGTAGACGGACTGCAGGGCGGTGGGGAAGGGGCGCGGCGACCGGCTGCGCACCGGTGTCGGGGCGGCGGGGGTGTTGGTCGGGATCTGCGAGGTGAGGCCGTTGGTGGCGGTCCTGTTCGTGTAGGGCGACGGCGAGAGCGAGGGCGACGGCGGCTGGTCGTCTGGGGGCTCGAGGTGGCGCGGGAGGCAGGCGAGGATCAGGACCAGGAGCACGAGGCAGTCCTTGCCGCCGTTGTAGGAGAGAGCGAGCTCGTCGATGCTGTATCTCTCGAGGGCCTCGTCAATGACGGACATTGCCTCCCGCGCGTGGGACTGCACGCCCCGGAGGAGGCTCGTCTCGGCCTCGTGGGCCAGGAGGGCGTCGACCTTTGCCTGCAGCTCGAGACAGACCTGGCGCAGCGACGGCGACGGGGCCGGGCCCGCAGCTGGCGGCTCCTTGACCCCGCCATTCGCATTCGCGGTGGGCGGGACGCCGCCGTTGGCGAGGTGGTGGTTGTGTGGCATCGCGTGAGAGGGACGAGGTCAGAGGTCAGAGGTCAGATCGTGCTGTGTGTGGCCCGGAAGATGCAGCCATGGACGCCGGCTGTGGAAGATGCTGAAGTGGCAAGATTATGTGTCTTGTCGGGCACGCCGTGCCGCAGACAGATGTGCTGACTAGAACAATAACGGGCAGAAAGCTGTCCGTCTGGCCCGTGGATCGGTCCGAGCTGTGGACGGATAAGCTGGGCAGTCTCTCCACCGGCCTCGGCTGCAATAGTACGGCGGGGGGATCGGCAACTGACAGGGGTCCACACTAATAGGTACCTAGGTACGGAGTAACCACCTAGGGTACTGTCTAGTCCCAACTCGCTCGGGGTATCTATCCTCTTGTACTGTAGTATTCACGACCGGTAAATCAGGGGTCCTTCCACATGGCCATATCAGGTTACTCAGGTAAAAATATCACGCCCAAGACAACATCAACAGAGGGAGACGACTTCCCGGATACTAGTTGTAATTGCTGCAGAACCATCGTGACCCGAGTCGCCTCACTGCAACCTTGCGGTGACAATTCGAATCACATTCCCGGGGTCCGGACAGAAGAAACGAAGCATCTCGGGACAACTTCAATGACACACCTTGTCCCGAGCAGCGTTGATACCATACTAAGACACAAGAAACTTTGTCATTATTCACTTCACCGTCAAACCATCCCTGCTAATCCGACCCGGGGCCTAGACATAAATGTAGCAGAACGCTCCACCATTTCCTCCCAGCTGGTCGTGAGTCTCGAGGAGCGGGATCTCGGGCCCAAGCCACGCCATATCCACCGTCATATTCATGGGGTCCGCCCGCCGCGCCATGGGCATCGGCGGCATCGTCACCGTGGGGATCGCATTGAGGCGTTTGTCTGCGTCCTGCATCTGCCAGATCCACCACAGCCGGTCCAGCGCGGCATGGTGGAAGTAGAAGATGGGATCCCCGGGCGATGTCATGGCATCACCGCCCGGGTCCACCGCAGCGACGTAGTGGCCTGCTGTGTGGATCTGTTTCGGATCATGGTCAGCTTGGACTATTGTCCAGACTCCACCATCGCCACGACGGGTGTGAGGTTGGGATACTTACTCCCCAGGGGAACGAGTCGTTCTTGGGCACCGGCGTGCCTAGCAGCTGGTTGTAGAAGCCGTTCATCTCGTTGTTGTCGTTGATCAGGCTGAGCGCGCGATCAGCCGTGGCACCCATTGCCGCATTGCGGTTGACGTCGCGCCGCAAGCATCGTGGGTTAGCACCTGTCCCGTCTGATCTGGGGTTCTTGGGCACCAGGTCAAGCGCCGTTGACATCGAGGTCGGCCCCAGGCTCACCACCATGCTATAGACTGGTCAGCCATCCTTACATGCTTCACGCGAGCACATCCTGTTGGCAAGCTGTGTGTGTGTGTGTGTGACAGACTCTGAGAATGGCCCTTCGGTGACGCAGCCGCCTCCGCCGCCAGACTTGATAATGTTCGGTGTTCGCCCCGGTTGCTGAACACCCTTGTATCGTGGATCTGGTTCGCCGTTGCCCCCCATGCTAGATGCATTCCCGTTGAGCAACGGTGAGTGGATTGGGTCATCTGAGTAGCGGTCGTAGTTCATATACTGTATGATAAGGCAAAGGTTAGTACGAAAACGGCCAGACTTGGGTGTGAGTAGAAGTGTCGTACGGGCTGGTAGCCGGTATAGCCACACTCTTCACGAAGGGCCTGCTCGTATAGATAGACATAATACTTGTGAGCGCCGAAAAGGTAGTAGTTGCTGTGAAGCTCCATAGCGTGCGTCATGTGGTAGGCCACAAAGTCATCAAACCGATTCATCGCTCCAGGGAATCTGGTTTTGTCTGACTTTGGCGGTAACTTCATCAAACACTTCACCGCCGCCACATATTCCTGTCTCTGTTCCTCGGAAAGATCACTCCTGCCACGTGTGTCAGTGAGATGGGACACCTCCATGAGTGCCACGAAGATCGAGACGCACCACTCTCGTCTCACTGACGCATTCTCCATCGTACATTCATTGTTCTTGCCGGCAGCAATCTTTTGTTCCAGCCAAGCCTCGACCTTGGGCATCGTGGCCTCTTCTAGCTTGTCGACAACATCGAGTGGATAGTTCGGGTTACGATCCCTGCGTGAACCCGTACAGTAAGCAGAGGCACAACGAACGGAAGAATATCAAGGAGCGTCATACGCGTTACTCCTTTCTGAATATCCAGCAGGGGGCAACTTTGCAAGAGCTCCACTGAGGAGCGCGACGAACAAGAGAGGGCTGCAGTTTGACCACATCTTGGGCTTTTCACCTGTTTGAGGTATAATGAAGCCAGAAAGGGGGCATCAAACATACTTGTGCTCGTACCACGCACCGAGGAAGAGTCATGGCATATATAGCTGCCGCCACTTTTGATCTGTGGTGGGAAACATTCATGCTGACGTTACGCAAGGCTTCATTAATACTTGGGTACAGAATTAAGGATCTGCCCTCCGCTTGAGAGCGAGGGATTGAGAGCCGGCTAAGGTCTCCATATCAGATGTGTGACCGATATAAGACACAGCTGGCGGCTCGATTGATTGAGGTTGTCCTACATTTATTCCGGACTGTGCATCTCCGCACGGCAGTTACAGCAACAACTGCCAGAGAGGCGACTCAGGAGATCATTTCCACAATCAACGGTATTCCCACGATATACTTAGCCGTGTAAATGAGGGAGAATTACGGCTTATATTGTTCAACGGCCTGCATTACGTGCAATGTGATGCAGAGCAAGTGTTAACCAAGTAATTATGTACAATAAGTGTAGCACCTTACATAGAGGTAATGCCTTTCCGCGGATCAACTATGCAAAAGTCTAGTTCACTTAGCCCTCACTCAGCATCACTTCTAGAACCCCGCAGTGATGTCGGTTTTGATGAGTTCAAACCTGCCAGTCGTGGTTCGTCCGTTTGTCTCTGCCTTGCGAGGACTCTCTCCAGATCATTGATATCTATTTACCTAGGTCCAGACATTGCCAGATGCCAGATCCGGCTTCGCACGCTGCCACTAACACTTCCAATCAATTCAACACTTTCCTTTGTTGGTCACTTGGGTCTGCCACAAAGCACTTCTCAAATGGTGGGTTTTGTTAAATCTAGAGCGCCTATTGGAAATTCATGTTCAATATTGCAGTAGAGTAAGCGGGCTTTACTGTGCCGTGTCAACGGATCCGTGCTCTCTGTTGTACCTAGGGCTCAATTTTATGATAAATGCAAACATGCTTCTCGATTCGTTCTTTCAGGGCCCACATTAATTGACATATCACCAAAATGCCCTTTGAATGCCGAGTACAACACGGCTCTCATCTTCAGGTTGGATACTCAGACTCCATCCCGTAGTGTTAGAGGGCTTCGCTGGTCTTGAGTTCTTCAGCACTCGTGTAAAAATTGACTGAACTGTTCGCGGAGATTTGTGGCTTGCTTACTTACTCAAGTACGTTCTCTTCATTCTTCTATGGGAGGCTTGCCCAAGCATTTCAACGTGCAGAAAGAAGCCTTGCAGTACTAGGAGTAGATAATCGTGTGGGAGGTAATCCCATGGGACATTATTTCACCTGATTTTATCACATAGTAGGCTCTCCTATGAGAAGCCATCCTGTGAGATCCAAATGCTTTTGCACAAGGAGTCGGGCGAAGATCAACGCCCGCTGCTGCTGCTAGGTTGTGAGCACTAAGAGATCTCTTGTAGCAAAGCTGTTCACAGGATCATTGCCTCGAGGGCACTAGCAAAGCCAAAAAAAAAAAAAAAAAAAATTGTGGGCAAGCATTTCATCAGACGCCAATAGCTCTTAAGAGCTCAATTATCATGAACAAGGACAAGTGCCGCGAAGTGTGACGAGAAGGAGGTCTCGAAACAGCTCTGGCAACGTGCAAGGGTTGTTTAATTCTGGTTAGGGACTAGCGCTGCGACAGGCAGTCGCCGAACTATCTGCTGGGGTAGCCCCACGTACCGTCACATCCCTGTCCAGCAACCCTGCCGAGCTGGAAATTTTCTGGAATTCGGAATGCGCAACTGCAACGCAGATTCCCTCCTACGGGCAACGACGGACAAGACGAAGATGGCGCCACATCCGAAGTCTGGAAAGTCCGGGCCCAAAGGGCACTCCAAACACTCAAAAAAAGAGGATAAAGTCCTTAAAAGAAAACGAGAGGCAGAGGACCATGACCGCCTGAAGAAGGCGATCGACGAACTGGTACGCATCTCTCACTGACAGTCCCTCGGTCCTGACTGACAATGCCTCTAGGACCCCAAGTCCCCAGCCGCAAATTTCGCCGACCTGCCCCTCTGCGAAGCCACAATCTCCGGCATCAAAGCCTCCCACTTCGAAACCCTCACCGATGTCCAGGCTCGAGCCATTCCTCTGGCCCTGAAAGGCCATGATCTCCTCGCCGCTGCCAAGACCGGGAGCGGCAAGACCCTCGCCTTCCTCGTGCCCGTCCTCGAGAAGCTCTACCACGCCCGCTGGACCCCCCGCGATGGCCTCGGCGCCCTGATCATGTCGCCTACGCGCGAACTGGCTGTGCAAATCTTTGACGTCCTCCGCAAGATTGGCCGGTACCATGACTTCTCTGCCGGCCTGGTCATTGGCGGCAACAACCTGAAAGAGGAGGCCGAGCGCATCGATCGTATGAACATCCTCGTTTGTACTCCTGGTCGCATGCTTCAGCATCTGGACCAGCGATTTGGATTCAACGTCGACGACCTGCAGATTCTGGTTCTGGACGAGGCCGACCGCATCATGGATATGGGTTTCCAGCACGCCGTTGACGCCCTCATTGAGCACCTGCCCAAGGAGAGGCAAACACTGCTGTTTAGCGCCACCCAGAGCAAGAAGATATCGGATCTCGCCCGTCTCAGCCTCAAGGAACCAGAATATGTCTCAGTTCACGAAGCGGCCGAGACAGCCACGCCGAGTAACCTTCAGCAGCACTACGTCGTGACGCCGCTCTCGGAAAAGCTGGACACGCTGTATGGCTTCATAAAGGCGAGCTTGAAGACCAAGATCGTGGTCTTCTTGTCGTCCGGGAAACAGGTCCGATACGTATACGAGACGCTGCGACAGCTGCAACCGGGTATACCATTGCTTCACTTGCACGGTCGACAAAAACAGGAGGCGAGATTGCGCATAACACAACAATTTACATCGGCAAGGCATTCGTGCTTGTTTGCGACGGATGTTGTCGCACGAGGTGTCGACTTTCCCGCGGTTGATTGGGTCATACAAGTCGACTGTCCTGAAGACGCGGACACCTACATCCACCGTGTGGGCCGAACAGCAAGGTACCAAAGCAAGGGCCGCGCGGTTCTTTTCCTGGACCCAAGCGAAGAGGAGGGCATGTTGAAGAGGCTCAAGCAAAAGAAGATTCCGATAGAGAAGATCAACATCAAGGACAGCATGAAGAAGAGCATCAAGAACCAGGTGCAAAGCATGTGCTTCAAGCAGCCCAACATCAAGTATCTGGCGCAGAAAGCCTTTGTTACTTACGTGCGGTCTGTCTATGTACAAAAGGATAAGGAGATCTTCGACATGGGAAAGCTAGATTTGGATGCATACGCTGCCAGTTTGGGACTGCCGGGAACGCCAAATATCAAATTCCGGCCTGGAGAGGACATCAAGAAGCTGAAGAATGCGCCGAGGATGGCACTAAGCGACTCGGAGGACTCTTCGGAGGGCGAAGGTGGCAAGCGCAAGAACAAGGACGAAGTGAAGACAAAGGTGCAGAAGATGTTTGAGCGAACGAACCAGGACGTGCTGTCTAGTCATTACCGCAAGATGGTAGGCGAGACAGGGGAGGACGATGAGGACGAGGACAACTTCATGGTTGCCAAGCGGGTCCTCAACGACGACGATCTCGAGAAGGCAGCGCAAAATGGCGATCACAGCAGTGCCAAGGTCATCGACTTTGGAGGAGACCAGCAGCTCGTCATCGATTCGAAACGACGCGAAAAGCTGCTCAAGTCCAAGAAGAAACTCCTCAAGTTCAAGGGCCATGGCCAGAAGCTCGTGTTTGACGACGAAGGCAACGCACACCCTATCTACGAGCTCGTCGGAGAGGACGAGTTCAAGCAGTTGGGGCCCGTGGACGAGCTCAGGCGGCAATTCGTCGACCAGGAGACGGAGAAGGTCCAGGAGGCAGATGTCGAGGACAAGGAGCTGGCCAAGACGAGGAGGAGGGAGAAGAGGGAAAGGAGAAAGGAGCTCGAGAGGATGGAGCGTGGCGAAGGGCCCGGGCCGGCTGCGCCTGTTGCTCGGCTCGAGGGCTCGGACGACGGCGAGGACCCACTTGCCCTGTTGCGGTCGTTGCCCACTGGGGACGATGCAGGATACAGTGACAGCGAGGCCGGAGAGGAGAGGCCCGCGAAGAAGAAGCAGAAGAAGTGGTTCCAGAACGACTCGGACGTTGAGGAAGAGAAGCCCTCGAAGAAGTCCAAGAAGGACAAGAAGACCAGAAACAGGGTCATCGAGATGGCTGAGGAACCAGACAACCTGGAGGATCTCGAGGCTCTCGCCGCAGGGCTGCTGGAGTAGTGATAAAACAATTGATACCCTCCCTAGTCGCGACTAAAGACCCATTGCCATGAGACGAGTTGCTGCCCACGACGCCATCATCACGTGAAACTTCCTCGAGGGACGTGTTCCGTGTGAGGCTGCCCTAGAAGGTCGACGTAGGGCGGCCAAGCTATGCGTAATCTATGCCATAGAACAACATTCCCAGCAAGCTTATCTATGGGAGACTATGCGACAAGAGACATCAACGAAACATGTTGTCCCCCAACAAGATGGTGTATTCGTATACCCTGCTGTACCAGTAGAGGCTGTTCTATCACGAGCCTATTCTACTCTATCTCTCCAAGGCACAGGTACATGAACGTCTGAGGATGCTTCAAATCCGCCGGGGCTGTTTTGAACCCCATCGTCCGCCCCATGTTGATCGGTTCCAAGATTAGTATGCGGCGCAGTCATCCAATCCACATGTGCCTTGTCGCCTTACAGCTTTCCCACCTTCTTCAGGCCCCTCTCTCCGTCGACCAGCACGCACCACCCCTCGCTGCCGACGGTGCCGCCGCCAAAGCCGGCGACGACGGCCTTGAAGCCCGCGTCCTCGCCCTCGCCATCCCTCGCAAACTTCAGAACCTCATCGTCAAAGGTTCCGGGCTGCAGGAACACGGAGGGGACTAGGGACGGCAATGTCTGGTCAGTCATCGGCTCGGCAAAGGCAGGTCGGTGGGTACATAGGTAGGTATGGCTTACTCCCTAGCTTCTTGGCCTCGCCGAGCACCTTCAGGGTTACTGGGGGAGGTGTGATGATGGACACGGAGGTCTCCTTGGGGTCGGGCAGGTCCGAGAGGGACTTGACGGTAGGGACCTCGGATGGCTTGCCTGCGGCGTCCGGGAGGGATGGCACGGCGATGGTGGCGGCGGCCGGGTTGATCGGGATGGCCTGGATGTCGTGGTGGAGGTACCAGGCGAAGACTGGGAGATATTGTTAGCCCATGTGCGACCTGATGGCGTGCCTCTGGACTCATGTCCATCTAAGTGGTCCGCAGGCGGTGATTGGGCCCCCCTGCCTGGCTCAAAGTCGGCAGACATTTATTACTGTATTTGTGCACTGGCTCGGAATCTATCTAGGTGTCTTACTCTTGTGTCCGAACTTGGCCGTGTTTGAGCTTGCGCCGACCACGGCGAAGTTTTTGGAGGAGAAGAAGGTCTTTAGAGATGCGTCGGTGCTCATTGTGGTGGTGAGATGAGAGGCAGGATGATGCCGGGATGATAATGATGAATGAGGTGTTTTGGCGAGCTTAGATGGGGAAGACGGCCTGGAGCAGACACAGCTGAGGGGGCGATGCGATAGAAGGCAGCGGAGGGCGACGGGGTTATAAGTCAACATGAAAACAAGCTGTTGCCGTGATTTGTAATTGTGAGGTCGTCGTTGAATTCCAAATATCGTGTCTCTACCTGCCACGGTAGGTAACTACCTACCTAGGTAAGTACCTAGGTAGACTACATAGAGAGTCGCTATCACGTAATTGGCTTTGTGTCGCCAAAGCCATGTACAACGGCGTCACAGCGTTTCATGGGAGCGGTTCTTTGTGCGTCTCCGGCGTCTTGGGTGCTGCCTATCTGGGTAGGTGTGTTGGAGAGCTACATACAGAGGTGGTTTACAGCCTTTGCAAGGTTCTGACTGCCCCGGGGGCCGGGACGGATTGAGACGAACTCGCAGGAGTTGTGCGTAAACGGACAGGTGGCCAGGGGCGGGCGGCATGGGACGACGCATTGTACAACAGCCTGCAGACATGATGACATTCGAGAAGGTGGTCGGTCTTGTTCAGAAGACGACAATACATATCATGTACCTAGGTACTTACTACTTGACAGACTGCACTCCATAAATACCAGGATCTGTGGATATATGTGCTCGGTAGGAGTGAGTGCTAGATAGAGAGGTGGCTGGAGGTGGGCTATGACGGTGTCAATTGGATGGATGGATCTTGTGTGTGTCGTTTCGTTTGCCCCTTGTTGACCCCCGCCCGTTGCCCCGTCAGTTTCAGCCCCACACATTCATCACACCTTGGACCTCTGAAAAGAGGCTGCAGTCAGGCAGTCGGGCAGGCCTGGCAGGCTCTGGCTCTGGCCCTGGCTCTGGCGGCTCGCGTGGCCCTGCACCGCTCGCATGAACAGCACAGACCACGAAAGGGGCCCCGTAGGCCAGGTCCATAAGCAGGTCCATGTCCAGCGAGACAAGGCAGGACGGAGACCGCTCTTCCATTTTATTTATAAAGCCCAGCTGGATCCCAACCTCAACGCCAGGAACCACCATCGCCAACCTCGTTACCGCCCCTCTCCCGCCATCCTCGCATTTTGCGCATTTTTCGCACTTTCCGCCGGCCCCTACGACCCACAATGGTGAGTTGCGTGACCCTCAACAGACATGGACATGGCATTTCCCGCACCAGCAGCAAGTGCGGCTATTGGACGCTGAGGGCTGGGACAGCCGGCAACACGTAAACAAAGGAGAGCGCCCGGCCTGCAGCACGGATGCGCCTCCCTCGCAGGCTGGCTGGCTGGCTGGCTGGCAGGTTCCAGTCTAGTGCTGCCGCCCAGCCAGCCCAGCCCAGAACCTGGCAGCCCTGGTACTCCAACTGCCCTCGTGTACCAGCGTACCAGGCCAGCCAGCCAGCCAGCCAGCCAGCCCAGCCCGAGGAAGGCGCTTGACTCCAACCCCGTTGCCGTGTCGGCCGCGTTGGCCGTGTTGTCTTGTCTGTCTCGGGTCGATCCCATCTCCAAATTTCAAAGTCCAGCCACCTCAGATAGCCGCAGCCAGCACCCTCGACACCGCTCCCTCTTTTGTCAACACGCTAGCCATCACGACATCACTGCACAACCCGCCCTGGCCGTCTGCATCCGTCACCCACTTCCTCACCACTCCCTCATCCGCTGCTGCTTCCAAGCCCCCCGGCCTGACTCGCACGCGCCGCAATCATGTCTTCTAATCAGTATGACGCGCAGGCTTCAACCAACTACAAGGAGGCTTTCTCGCTGTTCGACAAGCGCGGCAACGGCCGTGTCACCCTCGACAACCTCGGCGACCTCCTGCGCGCCTGTGGCCAGAACCCTACCATGACCGAGATCAAGGACCTGGAGAAGAGCGTCGGCGGTGACTGTGAGTCTTGCCTCCCCGCCCCAGCCACCTTTGTTTATCTGGGTGGTTTCGTGCGCCCGACTCCAACAACATGCCCTCGCCGCGCCACGCCTCGCCACGCCAGCCAAACAAGTTCATTTGTGCAAGACGCCCGGACGCTAATTCCTGTCTGACAATGCACAGTCGACTTCGAGACTTTCCAGCGCGTGCTGAACCGCCCCGGCGGATTCCGTGACCCAGGCGAGCCTGAGGAGTACTGCCGCGGCTTCCAGGTCTTCGACAAGGACATGACGGGCTTCATCGGCGTCGGCCAGCTCAAGTACATCCTGACCAACCTGGGCGAGAAGATGACGGAGGAGGAGGTGGAAGAGCTGCTCAAGGCCGTTGACACCACCTCGGGCGAGGTCAACTACACGGGTGCGTGCCACCTCTCCCGCTCCTGCACCGAGCACGAGCCGCTTATGACCATGGCGTTATGGCTGACTGACACGCGATCCGACTAGATCTGGTCCGGACGATTCTTGCGAACTAGATGGAACATTACCGAGTCCAGACGCCGCGGGACGATGGGCGAACAAGATGACTGCGCCATATGCTGGGAGGGGAGAACAAGGCATAGGATGATATACTGCATGGGTTGTCAAGGGACTGGCCGGCGTTTACTGCTTTTGTTGCTGACGAGTGACGAGATATGCCTTGAGCAAAACAAACAAACGTCGGGTGCCCTGGGTCGGGTGCCCTGGGTCGGCTGTTGGCCAAAGTGCCCGGAGGATAGGTACAATCGATCAGACATTTGAGAATATGGAGCCTCTTTTTGCTTGTCAGCACCAGCCAGGCCCTCCATCGAGCCTGTGCAACCTTTGTCGCAGCGCTACAACCTCCGGGTTTAAACGCTGCCGAACTCCATCGATGCCGTGATATGGAGAGAAGTGGTGGATCTACGGCGTAGGCTCTGCAGCTTCGCCTGACTCGAGGATGATGAGCCTGTTCCTCCCATCCTCTCTGAGTTGGTTGCTGGCGGGTGACCTACCCGCCTACTGTCGCCAAGTCGTCCCCGTCCCTGCTGCCGTGCCCGTATTGAGCATTGATGCCTTCGTGCATCGGCGAGTCACCAGCGGACCGTCCGTCTGAGTGGTTGCTCAATGCACATGCTGTGCATCACTGCATATGCCCAAGCTTCCACGGGATAACCTCTCATGGGACAACCTCCTAGTTCAGCCCTAGGAGGGTCCTTGGGTAGTTGTCTACCTATAGACCTCGGGAGGTATGTATGTCACAGCCCAAAAGCGGCCCTCACCGCACCCAACGTGGCAGGGCTCGGGGATAAAGCCCCCTGCAAGGCCCCGCATGCACTCGCACCAACTCTGCAGGGACCCCCTGATGTAGCTGCAAGCACCCCGCAGTGTCCGTCCCGCAGTCGAGCTTCCCCGTCCATCGAGCTGCGCGAGCCAGCCAGCCCGCTTGCTTGCTGCCAATGCTATTCCATCCCCTCAACCGTGCTGTGCAGGAACATCCTCCGACCTCCAACGTGGCGTCCCATTTTCCAAAACGACCCTTGAAAACTAGGGGTAAGCCCCGGAAAACTGCCCTCCTCTTTGCCTTCTCCCTCTTTGTGCTTCTACTTTCCATCCTGGCTGTCTCACGAGCCGTTCCGCGCACGCTGCTCGGAACCTTCTCACACCTGAAAGCCGGTCGTCTGACCAAGTTCCCCTTCATTGCGACTGCTTCATTTTCGACATTTAGGCCGTTCGTCGCCCAACCTTCCTACATCATGGACAAGTACAAGAAGCCTCCGCAGGCACCGCCCACTTTTATCGGCACCAAGGAGAACATCGTCTCGGACACCAAGGCGTTATGTGACAAGACACGCAGCCTCTTGGACGACCTCGTCGCCAAGATACCTGCCGACGACAGCTCCAAGATCACGTTCCAGGACGTCTTGCTGCCCCAGATTTATGACGAGAATGACTCGGCTTTGACAGCCCGCATCCTGGGCTTCTATCAGTATGTCTCGAGCAACTCGGAGCTGCGGGATGCCTCAACGGAGGCCGAGAGCATCATGGATGAGTTCGCCATTGAGATGGCCACCAGGGAGGATGTCTTCAAGATCGTGGACGCCGTCTACCAGAAAAAGGACAGCCTTGGTCTAGACACCGAGGACAAGAAATTCTTAGAGAAAGAGAGGAAGAACTACATCTCGAACGGACTGGGGCTCCCCGCTGGACCCCAGAGGGAGCGCTTCAAGGAGATCAAGAAGAGACTTAGTCAGATCCAGATCGAGTTCACCAAGGCCCTGAACGAGGAGAACGGTGCAATCTACTTCACCCCCGAGGAGTTGGACGGCGTTCCGACCGACCTCACCGAAAGCTGGGACAAGGGAACGGGGGAGAACGAGGGCAAGCTCCGCGTCTCCTTCAAATACCCGGACCTCTTCCCAACCTTGAAGTTCGCCAAGAACCCCGAGACCCGCCGGAAGATTTTCATCGCCAACGAGAACAAGTGCAACAAGAACATGCCCCTGTTCAAGGAGGCCATTACCCTGCGGGACGAGGCTGCGCGCATGCTTGGCTTCCCAGACCATGCCTCTTTCAGGATTGAGGACAAGATGGCCAAGACCACAAAGACGGTCAACGATTTCCTCGGAGACCTGCGTGTCAAGCTTGCACCTGGTGGGAGGAAGGAGACGGAACACCTCAAGGCGATCAAGAAGGCCGACGTCGAGTCACGCGGAGAGAAGTTCGACGGCAGCTACTACCTGTGGGACCACCGCTTCTATGATCGTCTGATGATCGAGCAGGAGTACTCTATCGATGAGAACAAGATCTCCGAATACTTCCCCTTGTCGAAGACGGTGGCTGGCATGCTGAATATCTTCGAAAAGCTGTTCGGCTTCGTCTTCGTCGAGCTTTCCCCGGAGGACAGGGCAGCAATCAGCCCTACAGGAAAGGGCGAGGATATATCCTGGCACGAGGACGTGATCGTCTTCTCGGTTTGGGACGACGACAACGAAGGCGGCGAGTTCGTTGGGTACCTATACCTTGACCTTCATCCACGAACTGGAAAATACTCTCACGCGGCCAACTTCAACCTGTCTCCAGGCTTCTTGCAGGCAGATGGGAAACGCCGTTATCCTGCCACTGCATTGGTATGCAACTTTAGCAAGCCAACGCCAAAGAAACCCAGTCTTCTAAAGCACGACGAGGTGGTGACGCTCTTCCACGAGTTGGGGCACGGCATCCACGACTTGGCAGGCCGCACAAAGACATCCAGATTCCACGGCACCTCGACAGTTCGGGACTTTGTCGAGGCGCCCTCACAAATGCTTGAGAACTGGTGCTGGACCCCTAGTCAGATCAAGGGCCTGTCGAGCCATTATGAGACGGGTGAGCAGATCCCAGACGAACTGGTGGAGAAGCTTGTTGCGACGAAGCATGTGAACGGTGCACTGTTCAACTTGCGCCAGTTACATTTTGGCATCTTCGACATGACCGTCCACACGCCCAAGAGCCACGAGGAGGTAGAGAAGCTTGATGCTAGCGCAGTTTATAACGACCTGCGTGCCGAAATTGCCGGCCTGCAGGGCCCGGAGTCCCTGGGACAGGGAAGGTGAGTTCTTGCTATCGAGAAGAGGCCGTGGCGCATGAGATGCTGACATGTCCGTCATAGCAACTGGGGCAACGGCCCGGCGACTTTTGGTCACCTCATAGGAGGATACGACGCTGGCTATTACGGCTACCTGTCTTCCCAGGTCTACTCTACTGACATGTTCTACACTGCTTTCAAGGCGGACCCCCTCAACGGCAAAGAAGGTCGACGGTACAGGCACACGGTTCTCGAGAGGGGTGGCAGTCAGGAAGAGATGGTCACTCTGGAACAATTCCTGGGCAGGAGGCCTTCAAATGACGCTTTCTACAAAGACCTCGGTCTTGCCAGCTGACTCGATCAGGCCAGGACCAGTCGCCTCTGACAGCAAGGGGCTGTCACTGAAGCACTTCATGGCTTTAGCCTGGGCGGATGGATGTACCTACAATCTAGCTAGCCTCGACATAAAGAGTGGAACACTGTAAAATCCCGCACTCGAAATGATTCTGCGGTAAGCATTAGCTTCCATTCCTGTGGAAGTGAAAGCATCCTTGTGAGGTATCGGAGGTTATGCGAAAGTGAAGGGAGTTTGTTGGATGCATTTATCAGCAGCCGTGTTTGAATATGAGATCCAGGTTGGTGCGGAGCAGCTCCAGCACTGGAGCTGACTGACTGGGGGCTGTGGTGGGGCTCCCGTTTGTTTACTTTAAGAGCCGGCAGGCCAATGACGCGTCGGGATTCATGCCCAGGGTTGTTTGCTTTGCCTCGCCTCGCCCTTCCTTGCCTTGCTTGAGAGCTCCATGCCCTGCGACGCGATTTCTTTACATCCGCTTGTCCCTTGCAACCACGATCAATAAGGCTTGTCTACGATGCGGACGCGCCCTCTTGCATCTTCAGAACACCTACACGCCTAACAACGACTCCCACCTCATCGTCCCACATCACTCCCACGCTGTCTGGGCTGCCACTTCGGCTGTTCCAGCTGCACGCATGCACGCGCCGACCAGTCCATCATAACACGATAGCTTCCAGCCCTGCGTAGCCCACCAGGCTGCAATCGCCCTCACGATGTCTACCGACGACATTGATGAGTACTTCATCTACGAGAACCGACTTGCATCTTTCCATGGCCCACAGCGTGTCACAAAGCGGAGGGCATCGTCCGCGGCCACATCTCGCGCCCCAAAGACGCTGTCATGGCCGCACAAGTCCATTAAACCTTCTGATGTGCGCAGTTCGACCCCCGTGCCCCCAGACAGCTCACTTTTGAACATGTCCTGACCAGATCCTGTTGTGTACAGATGGCCAAGGCAGGCTTTTACTTCCAGCCGTACCCCAGCAACCCAGACAATGTCATCTGTTTCCTCTGCAACAAGGCCCTCGACGGCTGGGAGGAGGACGACCGACCCCTCGAGGAGCACCTAAAACACGCACCTGAATGTGGCTGGGCCATCACGGCGGCGGTCGAGGCCGAGCTGGGCGAATACGTGCGCGAGGACCCCAGAGACGCGCTCATGTCCGAGGCCCGGAAGGCCACCTTTGCCGGACGTTGGCCTCACGAGAGCAGCAAGGGTTGGACGTGCAAGACAAAGCAGGTATGATGCTCCATTGCTATCCTGCGCTACAAGAGATGTGCTGATGCGCTCAAAAGCTTGTTGAGGCTGGTTGGAAATACACGCCAACATTGGAGTCAGATGACCATGCCACTTGCACATACTGCCACTTGGGCCTTGACGGGTGGGAGAAGGGTGACAAACCTTGGTACGAGGCCGCGCCACTCCTTTCAATGCGTCTGAGGCACTGACCCATCCTAGGGATGAACATTATAGCCGGGCACCCAACTGCCCCTTTTTCGCCCTGATCAGCTCGAAGCCGGCCCCTAAGAAGACAGGACGGTCCAAGGCTGCCAGGACTTCCAAGGCCTCCCGCCTGTCGCTACAGTCTGTCGCTACTGTCGCTTCGGACTTGACATCCCTTGCCGATGTCACTGCAGATATCGACGACAGCGTTCTCACAACAGCGTCCACCATGACGACGGCTTCTAAGGGGGCCAAGAAGGCCACAAAGGGCAAAAAGGGTCCGACGACAACGAAGACCAGGAAGACTCGTGCGAAGAAGGACGAAGCTGTTGAAGTACCGGAAGACCAACCAGAGCAAGAGGCGGCTCCCGCGCCTCCATCACCTGCAAAGCCCGCAAGAGGCCGCAAGAGATCGAGCGAGGAGTTGGAAGATGCGGTGCTAACCAACGCCGAAGCACCTGCTCCAAAGAAACGAGCCAAGACGCGCAAGGCCCGCGGTAGCACCGCGACCGAGGCCTCTTCGGTTGATACAGACATGGTCGATGCGCCAGAGCCACCCAAAAAGTCCGTAGTCAGGAAGGCGAGGAAGGCGTCTGATACGCGGAAAACACCTGGGGCTCAGCTCGCCAGAGAATTATCGACTGCTTCAGCCGACTCTCCTGGGCCAGTCGCTGTCCCAAGCGACAGCGAGATCGATAGACAGCTGGAGGCTGACCTTGAGCGGCCACTGTCGGATGATGAGGATATCCTGGCTGATCCGGACATCAAGAAGAAGACGGCCTCCCGTGTGAAGGTGGAAGCCAAGAACGATTACAACGAAGACGAGCCTCTTGCCCATACTGCGACGGCTGATTTTGCCATGTTTGACCCTGCGCCGGCCGAGCCAACCGATGCGCAGGTTGACGCGGACTTGAAGGCTATGGAGGATGAGATGGATGTTGATCAGAAGGCCGAGGCAGAACAAATGGTCGTCCCAAAGAAGGGCCGTAAGGCTGGCACTCGGAAAGTGTCGAAACAAACAGCCGCTAAGAAAAGCGAAGAACCCGCTCTGCCGGTGCTTTCGGAGCAGCCACAGTCCCGCATGGATGCAGAGGCAGAAGAGCCGGATGAGATCGCAGAGGCAGACGTCAGTTTCGGGAGCAATGGCACCGTGGTCAGAAAGTCATTGGGCAGAACATCGCTCGGGAGAACATCGCTGGGGAGAACATCGCTTGGCAGCGTCGTGAGCACTACGAGCACCAAGGGCCCAGCAAAGCGCGGCCGCCCGCCAAAGAAGCCGAAGGTATCAGAGGCCGTCAAGTCTGAGGCAACTCCGACTGCTGGCCCAACGGCCGCCACGGGGCACACTACAGAACCGACGGACGTTGAGTCCGCCCCCGCCCTGGTCCCGGCGGATGGCACAACGAAGCGGACAAGCACCGGGAAGCGTGGTCGCCCTCCCAAGAATCCCAAACCTTTGGAAGTCGGGCCAGAGATGCCGCCTCCTCACCAGGCATCAGTCGAGCCAAAGCCACAAAATATTGTGACTGATGTCCAAGTCGAGTCAGCGACGGTGCAAGAAAGCTTCTCGGCAGCAGCCAGCAGTCCTCGGATCGCCCGAAAACCTGTACCGGCCCCGAAAGATTCGCCTTTCGCGATTCGGAAAGATGAGCCCTCTACCTCGACTTCTACTTCCAATGTCCTTGCGGTACCACCAAAAACACCACGCCATAATGCCTCACCCGCGCAATCGGCCAAGCAAGCCACCATCTCGCCATCCCCTTCCCCACAAGCGTCAGACGCAGAGAACCGGCCTCCCTCCTCCAAGCCGAACACTGCCAGCAGCAAAGGCAAGCGCATACCACCTGTTTCTCTTCCCACCGCAGTCACGCCTAGCCGTCAGATGTCGCCTTCCAAGCAGCTCTCTCCGTCAAAACAACATGCCATTGGGAGTTTGCAGAGCACAGAGCCTTGGACGGCAGTCGACCTAGATTCCGTCTTTGGCGGATTTCAAAATGACCAGGAGGACACTCATGGGGCGGCTGACCGCTTTTTCTCCAAAGGTGGCGAGCTCACGGAACAGGAGCGCAACATGACCGTCGAGGAATGGATCTATTACAACGCTGGCCAAGCTGAGCAGAAGCTTAAGTTCGAGTGCGAAAGCATGGTTATGGCGTTTGAGAAGGAAGGAACAAGGGCTATTAGAGCCCTAGAAGGCCTGGTCGTCGCTGAATAAGCGGCGCCAAGCGGTTCTTAGAAGGGGATGTTTGCGTGTTATGTTGAAGTACAAGTTGAGCCAACAATGTTGCTCGCGCGAGCATGTGTCACACGAGGTCAGGAGTTCTTGAGGCTGTGGAAATTACTATGGCGTTGTGATGGAATCGGCAAGACCTTGGGGCAGGTGAGATGCCCTTGGAGATGTTTATGGGCGGTACAACATGACTGATCTCTTCCGGGTTTGCCGTTGAGCAACGAAGGTGAAGGTGATCGTCAGGCCCGATCTCAGACAATGCGGCTTGAGCTCCTTTGCGTTTACCAACACGCAAAGAAGGTGCTCGCTGCGGATATCCGAGCATCGGGAGGTTTAAGTAACTTGCTCTTCTTTCTTCTTCGGTCTGGTTGTTCAGAGTTGGAGCATCGCATGGCAAAGGCGTTTTTTGTTTTTATATACATCTCGTTGCTCCTGAAATTTTATGTTATTTTTGCCACTGGGCGTTCAAGTGTGCAAAGTGCCCTGATAGTCCCAGTCCAGTACTTTTGAATTTCCAGCGTGACCCAGTTGTCTGCAATACCATGAGTCCTCTTTTCTTTTTTGCATATCTGGTCATACAGCAAACGAAGCAATTTGACAAGCGAGCCAGGGTCGTCGCGTTAATGCGTAGTATCCATTGGGAGACCTATTAGCAAGAGCAAACGATCGGGCGCGGATCTTCTTGGTGTACATAATGTGCATGCAAAGGGTGGTCGGCGATAATACTGCGTGTAGACTAATCCAGCCAAAGCAGCATCGATCGGGCGGGGAGCACGCGGGCAACGGCCCCTATGCGGTACGACGATCGATAAGTCTTGAAATGTCGTCATGTAAGGACTCCGAGTGGCGGTGCTCTTTCGCAAAACTTCAAGTTCAAGATGTCGATAATCGTTTCGAACAAGGCTCACAGGGGCATCCATCTGAAAGCCCTCAGCCCATCTACCATTGTCTCTTCTTTGTTTCGTAATGATGGATCAAGGCATTGATATCTATCACAGCCCGGTCTTTCAGGCCGGTGACTGGGAGAATGATCGAGATTTATAGCGTTCTTCCTGCTTGTGTTTTCCCCAAGGGTTTGGTAGGACAGCACAAGCCCAACCTACTTTACATACCTACTTGGTAGCATGATATTCCGACTTCGCAGCTACATACCCTAGAGTCGGCGACTAGCCCGTGGGCTACTTCTGTCCACGATCGACGCCGTCGTCAAGACGGTACCCCCTAGCCTTATCTGTGCGTCGCAAGGCTGAGGCCACAAGCACCTATCGTATTATAACTATCGTTATCGGCATCGTATTCTTTCCAAGCGCTGGGTCTTGAGTGCTTACCACCGTATAAAGGCGCTATATATGTCCTCGGACGTATACGGAATAGAAGCGAAACCACATATGCAACTTCTCGTGTGCTCTGAAGTTCCCAGCCTGCTTCCCTTGTGTTGCAGGTTTTGAGATTAAAACCTTCCGCTGCCTGAGCGGCTCAAAAGGGTTGCATTGGTGGGAGTTACTTAATTCATCAGCGCAGCACGACTTCAAGTTGTTGATGTTTCCCGTTGTGAAGCTCGTGGGCACCGCGTTGTAGCCGTTCAACTGCCAGGGGCTTGGGGTTTGGCATGTGGGTGGCAATTAGAACAACGGCGGATATGATGCACATTAGGGGAGGGGGCAACGGTGTCTCAGCCAACTTGTTGGTCTTGGCTGTGGCGAGAAGTGTAACAAGGAGGCCACCAGTTGACCCACCATTAGTCGAATTATGAATGATCGCAGCATGTTGAATACCATCCATCCCTGCCTCTACGAGACGCCGTCGAGCCCAAGATCTGATCCCTAAAGGTCGGCTACAGTACAGATATAAAACAACTGCGAAGCCAAATTTCGTTGCCCAGAGCCAGAGTTCTAAAAGGTATCTAAGTAAGCTCAAAGGGACATGTCGGAAGGCTCCTTGGAAAATGGGAGACAATGTTAGGTTCAAGCATTTGTGCTCGCTGATAGCAGTAAATATCACAAAGCTGTCTGGCGTGCCACCCTGCATTGTATCAAGCACTTTAGTGCTTTGAGGACTTTGTGGTACATGAGAACTCGGTTTCCTGCTGAAATCAGGACCGTATATAAAAACGAAGTGCCATTGTGTCACTGCAGAGACAAATCCAATAAGCAGGTGAGCTGCAACATGATTGAGCAATAGATATGAAGGTAGTCCTTTTCTGACTTGGGTAGTTCGGCTGAGGTAAGTGGCATATCAGTTGCCCAATGTGCTCGACAAGTCGCCTGAGGCAGTGTGAATGAGCGAACCCACACGATTTGGACATACACAAGTAATTTAAATCGTGCTATGCAATTCGGACGTATCCGGAATAGAAGTGAAACCCTTGACCGCTGTAAATGCACCACATTCATTTTATACGTATGGGCATTAGAAATGAAACCACGGTCATGGGTGGCTTGAGACTATGGGATATAATTTTGACTGCTCTGGAAAAGTCCCTAGGTAAACAGCTCCGCGCACCAGATGACACAATGGAGGGACTCATATTCGTGGGGATGCCGAGTGCCTAGGTAATATCGGGAAACGTTGGCGTTCACTTTGGCGTTCACTTCCTGTGCACAACCGGTCCCTGATTGCTGCCAAACCGGAAGCACGACTTTCGGCTCCGGATCTCCGAGACATCTTTGAGGAAGACTCAATTGTATTCAACACATCTGGCACTGGCCGGGCACGAAGATGATATCACGGGCTCATACTCCGTACCTAGGTAGCAGAGCAACTGGAAATTCCGGCACTGGCTATCATCGCCACATCCTAGCGCGAGGCAAGGTTGTTGGCCCAAGGGCAAAAGAGGAAGGTGTTCAGGCCAGCTTTGCCTGGGTTGGTTCATGTCAGATGAGGTGCGTCGCACGCAAGCTTTGGACGGTATTGGTGAATACTAGTGAGTGCACGAAATAGTCGGGACCTTGGCGCCCAGCAACACAAGCTTTTGACAAGGGATCTTGGCGATTGCCCGGGATTGTTTGCAAGGTGGATCGGCAGACGGAAGAGCCCGGCAAGAAGGGTTGCAGTTTACCGCGCGGCCTGCATCTGACGGAGGAGCGCTTAGAGCTCCCATCATCTTGTGCTGGTGAGGTTGATAGCCTGGCTGGACTGCTGTTCAGGGATTACGATGAGCCGCCGCAGTCTTGGAAGCGAATTGAGTGTTGCCAACTCTCTCCATTCCGGCGAGATACGGCATCACGTCAACAGCTTATTATGAGAAGAAAACGACCTGGGCGTGCATTGTGAAATCAGGCGTTTGATAACGCACACGGCGACTGCCCTGACGAAAGCGTGCCGCTGACCATTCATGGGTCGTATTGATAACACTAGGTGGTGTGGCCCCTCTCCGCTCCCCTGCCGATGGCCTGCTGCGTTGTATCTGGATGTTCCAACCTCAAGTCCGACCGTCCACAACATTCTCATACTAATACTAGTACCCACCGGTCACGACCACCTCGAGTGTTCCCACCCCCCGGACCCCGCCCGGGGCAGTGATTCCAGTCTCAGCTAGACCTGCCGGCTGAACTCGCTTTATCTTTGTTGATTGGTGGACATTGCTATTCAGAATAGTATGTTACGGTGTATATGGGCTTGCCGTATCTCATATCTCACTGGGCCCATCGGACCATGGCGCTACGTGGACGTTGATCTTCTATCTTCCTGGTTCACACCCCTTCAAGCTTGACATAAGCTTGGTGGAATGGCGACAGTGCCCTGACACCCCTGCCCGCCCGTCCATTCAACACCACATGTGCAGGCTGGCCAGACTGCCAGACGGGGACTCTATGCACTCGAAATGGTCCGGGATATTCCCCTTCAATGAGGAAGGTGGTAGTAAATACACACGGCCCTGCAGTGACACCATATGGGGCAAGATAGCCTCATTCCATATCTCTCTGGCTTCGTAATGTTGCTTCGCAACCCGGTGGCCCTGGCCATGGCCGATGGTGATTGCACGGGGAGAGATGCATAGGTGCAGCGGCTGGTCAGGCACGCAGGTCCTCGATTATCAAAGGCTCAGGTATAAAGAAGCATTGATATCCTCATCGTAAAAGCTGTGTCCCTCTCATCAACAGCGGCCTTTGAGCATCAGCCAAATTCAGGACCTACCATTGTCTCCTCGCTTTCCTCCTTGCACAAGTACAGACTCGGTGAAACGACTTCAAAATGAGGTTCTCTGCTCTTGCCACCGTCGCCCTCAGCGCTGAGGTTGCCATCGCCGCCCGTTGGACCGAGAAGCGTCGTGAGCGGCACGCGGCCCGCGCGGCATCCAGGCAGACCAACCCGCTTCTTCCTGCTACGGAGCTCGATGGTCTTCAGGTCGAGGCATTCACCAACGAGACTGCTCATGCCGAGTACTCGTCCAACTGGGCGGGCGCCGTTCTCATTGGCACTGGCTACAAGTCGGTCACGGGCACATTTGTCGTGCCGACTCCTTCCAAGCCCTCGGGTGGTAGCTCCAATACTGAGGTTAGTGAGCAGCTCCCAAACGTCCATCACTGTGGAAATCCTGAAGTGCTTGGACATGGTGGTGCCAGAAATTCCCATGCTGACTCGGACTGATGTAGTACGCCGCTTCCGCGTGGGTGGGCATTGACGGAGACACTGCAACAAATTCGATTTTGCAGACTGGAGTGGACTTCTATATTAAGTCAGTATCACCTTTCTCCTCTGACGGATCCCAACCTGTCATGTTTTTGGGATGCTGTAGAATGCAACACTTTAGGATCCGTAGCAGGACTAACGTCACGACTTAGGGGGTCAACAATCAGCTTTGACGCATGGTATGAGTGGTACCCCGATTATGCGTAAGTACCACAACGTCCGCGGAACATTTCTGAGATGAGTGGCTGTTGGTCTAACCAAGTTTACAACAGCTATACCTTCAGCGGTATCAGCATCTCGGCTGGTGATACCATCACTGTGACCGTCACAGCTACCTCGACCACGGCCGGAACTGCAGTTGTGAAGAACGTGTCAAAGGGTACTTCCGTGACCCACACGTTCACCGGCCAAACCCGAGCCCTGCAGGAGCTCAACGCGGAATGGATTGTCGAGGACTTCAGCTCCGGCGGCTCTCTTGTCCCATTTGCCAACTTCGGCACTGTGACCTTCACTGGAGCCTCTGCCAGCGGGTCTTCCGGCACGGTTTCCCCCTCTGGGGCCACCCTCATTGACATAAAGCAGAACAGCAAGGTCCTGACCAGCTCGTCTGTCTCTGGATCTTCTGTCACAGTGAAGTACACTGGTTAGGACTGGCCTGGGGATGGGCTATATGTGCGAAACGACGGTCCCGGCGGCATACTAGTAATAGTAAGTTTTGGGATGTCGGGGTGGGTGGAATGAGAGGGGGTTGAGTGCTGCTCGAGCTGTTGTAGCGAGTATTTCGTGCATTCTACTCGTAGTCCGTAGCATACTCAAGTAATTATCAACTTAAAGTTTGGCGACGGCCGCTTGCCCCGCTCTGATCGTCTTCCGTCCACACAACAATGAGCACGCGAGCTTCTTATTGTGAATGACCGAACGTTTATTATCCACGCCGTTTTGGCGTTGGATGCAGCACAGGCGGCTCCGGTCCGTCCCTCCCACCTTGGACCGAAACCGAATGCCGACCCCGCTGAAGGGCAGCTAGCCTCCGGGGGCCACTCAGTGGACCTCGGCTCCCAACCACCGTCCTTGCGATCTCGGCCAGCGGTCCACGGGATGGGATTGTTTCTACTGTGCCTAGGTAGGTCCTCCATCGTGCAACACTCAATGTGAGCGCCCCAAACATGGCTTCCAGCAGTCTCTCGGCCTTGATGAGGTCATGCAAAAGTGCGCGACCATGCCTGTCTCAGCTTTCGAGTGCCAGCAGGAATCAAGCCCGTCTCTGTCGCCGCTCCTCGACCGCGGCCGGCTCGCTGCCCCTTCAAGGCTACCGGGTGCTAGACATGACACGTGTATTGGCCGGTGTAAGTCGACCTCTGTCGGCCAAGTGTCCCCTGATTCGCTAACCCAATGGTCTAGCCTTACTGCACTCAAATTCTTGGTGATCTTGGGTAAGCACGCCCTAGGGGGGGGGGGAGACGTTCATTCAAACCGAGTTCGGTCCGCAGATGCTGAGTCTGGCCAGTGCTGAGGTCATCAAGATCGAGCATCCAGTTCGCGGTGATGACACAAGGGCGTGGGGTCCTCCATATGCAAAATACAGAGACGGCTCGGAGCATAAAGGGCCTGGAGAGTCGGCTTACTTCTTAGGTGTGAGCAATTGAGTCGCTCGGCGTGTTGGCACCTTGGAGACTAACTCCTACCAAGGTCAACCGGAACAAGAAGTCCTTGGGTCTGTCCTTCCAGGATCCCGCTGGCGTCGACATCCTCCACAAGCTGGCGGCTAAATGCGACATTCTCGTGGAGAATTACATCCCCGGAGCGCTGAAGAAATACGGGCTCGACTTCGATACCATCCATAAGATCAACCCGGCCCTGATCTATGCCTCGATTACTGGCTACGGCCAGAGCGGCCCGTACTCGCAAAGAGCAGGCTATGATGTGATGGTTGAGGCAGAATTCGGCTTGATGCACATCACCGGCGCCCGTGATGGCCCCCCCGTCAAGGTTGGTGTTGCTGTCACTGATCTGACCACGGGCCTATACACGAGCAATTCCATCATGGCTGCCCTTCTTGGCCGTCAGAAGTCCGGGAAAGGGCAGCATCTCGATATCGCCTTGAGCGACTGTCAAACGGCCACCCTGGCCAATATTGCCAGTAGCTGCCTCATCAGTGGCGACAAGGACACCGGGAGATGGGGCACGGCACATCGTGAGTTCGCCGAGCCACGGCGGTCTGCTTGCATCTTTCTGACTAACATGATCAGCATCGATTGTCCCATACAAGGCCTTCAAAACTAAAGACGGCGATGTCCTGTTTGGTGGCGGGAATGACCGCTTGTTCGGCATCCTTTGCGACGGATTGGGCAAGCCTGAGTGGAAAGACGACCCTAAATTCAAGATCAACTCGCAACGAGTTGCGAACAGGGACGAGCTTGAGGCAGAGATCGAGAATATATCGACCCAGAAGACCACAAAAGAGTGGCTGGACGTCTTTGAGGGGAAAGGAATGCCGTATGCCGCGGTAAACGACGTCCAGGGGACATTGAACCACGAGCACACGCTGGCGCGCAACATGGTCATAGAAGTCGATCACGGGGACTGCGGTCCTATCAAGTTGGTCAACACCCCGATGAAATTTTCCGAAAGCAAGCCTGGGCTCAGGAGCCCACCACCGACGCTGGGACAGCACACCGACGAGGTGTTACGGGAACACATCGGCTTGGATGAGGCCCAGATTCGCGCCCTGAGAGAGAAGGGCGTAGTCAATTGAGAACCAAGTGCCTAAGTAGCATAGCACCGACCAGAGGTAGCAGCCGTCGATAATTGCTTCTACCACATGAGTAGATATCATCAGGTTCTTTAGGTGTTGATTTGTCTGTGAATCCAGGAAAAGGAGCGTTTTATGGATCGACCATTGCCGCAGCAGACAATCTGTTGGGCTCCAAGGTTGTCTGCGGATACTGCAACGAGCTAGGCACTTTGGCAGGCAAACTACACATGCAGCCATTGAAGAGCATGGGCTCTCTTGAGGGTAGGTGAAGCAGAGCTGATAGCTTCGAGCAGAGAGCAAGTGACTGAACATAAGATGGCATTAAAGTGGGAGCGGAAGAGGTGAAGGTACGCAGGGATCGACATAGCACGTGATATGCACGTGCTTTCCAGCGTCGGGCCACTCCCCGGGGCCATCGTCCTCACTCGCGGCTGTTCATGCAATGTAGCCAGACCACTTACAGAGAACACTTACAGGGCAATATTCCCCGAACAAAAACCATGGCTGATCCCAATTTGACAACAGGCACGTCAGTGCCAGCGGACGACGCCGGTGATGGTAAAGGCACAACACCAGCAGCACCCCCATCCGCAGCAGCAAACGCATCGCCTGCCCTTGCCTCACGCTCAGCCTCCCCGTATGTCAGCGATGGCTCCAGGAGGTTCTCGTCCCCGTATACCCCCCAGTTCTCGCCTGCGACACAGATGATATTGAAGCGAATGCGCGGCGAAGCTGGCGGGCTGAGTTCCGCCCTCGCATCAGCCACAGCCCCCGGCGCGCCGAGACCGAGCTTCCCGAGGCCCGTCTATGAGAGTGTCAGGGAGCGCATAGTTGCAAGCATGACGAGTGGAAACACCATGTCGCTGCCGGCTCCCACGTCTTCTTCGAGGAGCACAACAACCAGCACAATCCGCCTCCCAGTGAAGTCAGCTCTGACAAGCGGCTCCAACGCAAGACAAACAGGGGCAGTCGGTCAGAAGCGAAAACGAGCCCGTGGCGATGGGGATATTAGTGACGTCTCCTCGCTAGCTGAGGGTTCGGATTACGGTGAGGGCATCAAGAAAGCAAAGCCCAAGCAGGCGACAACCCCTCAGATCACACAATCAGGAAGGCGGATTCTAAAACCGGACACGTACGATCCTGCAGCCGAGGACAATGCAAAGAAGAATGCGCGTCTGGGCAAGCGAACGACGGAGCAGGCTCTCTGCAAGAAATGTACCCGAATGCACAGCCCGGCCACCAACCAGATGGTGTTTTGTGATGGCTGCAACGATCCCTGGCACCAGCGGTGTCATGATCCATGGATAGAAGACGAGATCACCAAGGACCAGAACCTGAAATGGTACTGTGTGATCTGTCAGGCCAAGAGGGAGCGGCTACAACCCAAGAAGAAGGTCGAGCAGCCTAGGTTTGGCAGTTGGGCTGATAGACCAGCATCGCAGGTGAGCTGGTCCTCGTAGCCAACGTCGGCTGCCGCTGCTAATATCGACACCAGAAACGAGCCTATCTTTCTGCCCTCTCCCCCGAAGACTTGGTCAACATAATACTCCATGCCACGGAGTTGCACCCCGACCTCCCTATCTTCCCAATCGAGTCCACTTCTACCCCAAAGAAATTGCCAGCGGGCAGCTCGCCACGGTCTCTCTTCGCAGGTGCCTCGGCAGGTGGTCTCTTCCACCGCGCCGAGACAAACCCCACAGCCCCCCTGAACTTCATCCGCAAGATCCCGGCCAATGCGAAGAAGTCAACCCTGGCCAAAGCCCGTTCGGGGACTGGCTCACTGCAGAGCAAGACAGCCGCGCAGGCAAGCGCCCTCGCGGCTGGGAATCATGTCTATGATGAAGAGGAGTCCTCGTTCACCAAGCTGTGGCCTCGGCCGGGGAAGGGGATGTATAGCCGGCTACCGCCTGAGGCCGACGACGACCGTGGGTTAACGGACGACAACGACCATGCTGCATTCAGTGTGATTGTTTTCAATGAGAAAGGCAGTACGTTTAATCCCTCCCCAAGATCTCCATCAGCGATCCACTTGTAGGCATGAGCCAAATGGCCATACTAAGGTTTGACTGAGGCGACTGACATGCTGATTTTGCTGACCAATGCTGATGTAGAGAAAATCGAAGAGAATGGTGTCAAAGTTTAGAGGCATACCAACAGGACGATTCCCTCTTAGGCCCGCTCTGTGATATTTGCGAAAGTCGGTCTCCGGAGGCAACTCAGCTTATCGAAAGTGGAAGGAATTCGACGAGGGGCAACTGGGTAGGCCTCAATGTAGAAAGCGACGGCTTTAGCATTACGGATATATGTACAATTGTAGAATTTGCTAATTTCATGGCTTGGATGCTTCTCGTGAGATGGCGACTTCGCGAGCGCCGTCACCCTCCGACGTGCCCTCTGATAAGGCAGTGCTTGTTCTCCTGCTCGACTCTGCGCTCACGGTCTTGCTCTCTGGAGTACCTGCTGATGTTGATCCTTGGGATGACGACTCCACTGATGTCGAAGATGACCCATTTCTACTCATCGCATCCAATTGAGTTCTATGCTTTTCGCCCGATTGGACCTCACCTAGAGCGATGTTCACTTCTGTGGCCATGCCGCGCTCAAGCTGGGAAGGCGTTGAAACGGTGTTCGGAACTTGAGAGACGCCACTGTCATTTGGCCTCGTTCTGTGCCGAGAGAATGTGATCCCGGTCCGTAGGTCTCGTCCCAGGGTGTGGCGATGAATGCTGGTGTGTAGCAGGTCCCAGATCCCAATCACCCATAGGAGAAGGTAAACGACAGGGTCCGAGAATCCTGAAGTCATTCCCCAGTAAGTATAACCGTGCGGGAACACTTCGCGGAAGCCGACATAAACCAGGAACATGGCAATGTAGCCTAGCCCGTTGAGTAAGCGGGCAATCAAGGCCAAGGCTTGCCATTTCTTCTTGGCCCTGGCGACGGAATAAATATCGAGGGAAATATCGGTAGCGACGAGGATAGTAAGCGCGATGGCTGGCGGCCTGTGTCCACAAGATAACTCTGTTAGTGAGCCCTGTCCCAGTTCAGAGCGGGCCCGCACCAACCCCATCAGATCTTGAGACGAACCTTTGCTCGCGGCCTCTGTGCCTGTAGAGGAACTCGGCCATGATCGAGAGAAGCAACGAACACGCCGCGGCATGCGCAACTCCATTCGAGGCCCGCAGCGCAGCTTGAGCCCAGCTGCGTTGGGTTATATCAGGCCAGCCCCAGCGGTCGCGCCCGCGGACCGAGCCCTCGTAGGTCGACTGTGCGGGCGTGTATTCCATGGGCGCCTCGATAAACATTGACCTCCTGCTATGCGCCGTGGGTGGCGGCCGCGTGGCGGGCGTTGGTGAGGTTGCCATGCTGACGTTCTTGGCCTCTTGGTCAACCCCTCGAAACTTGCCTTGTCGATATGCGCCGGTCCTGATCCTCGCCCAGCGTGGAGGTGCCCCGGGCCTGAGACATGTGGCTCTGGGTCTCTTCTCAGCCGCTCAATGCGCGGGCGCGAGTCGAAGCTGTTGCGAGAAAGGAAGCTGGTCTCGTGTCTCGTGCTCTTGACTGTTGCAATTGGGGCCGGCTCACTTGTCAACAAGCGACCAGAGAGTGCGGCCAGGAGAAGACTGAGGGCTGGCTCGAATGGCCTTGTGGGACCCAAGTGTCCAGGGAGAAAACATTCGAGTCATGGCGCCCGCCTCTCGTGTCTTTGATCAAGAGACTGGTCCTGGTGGGGAGAGGGGCTTGTCTCTTCAGGCGAAGGAATCGCCAGATCGGGACAGCCAGCCCGTCGGGCCCGCCATGTCACCTCTTGGCAGGGCAGCCGGGGACCCTCCCAAGTTTTGTCCTCGCCAGCTGGCGCGCGTGACAGAAGAGCCGAGCTCCATTTTCTTCTCCAGCGGCATTTCTGGGACTCACCGATTCCAAATCAGGAGCACAGTGGTCTTGCAGGAAACGTCGTAGGTTGGCAAGGTCAAGAGCCCAGGCGTTTCGAACTTGCAGCTCCCGAGCAGGGCCCGGCAGGGCTGCCAGCTGGAGGGTGGCGCCCAAAGCACAGCCCCTAACTGGACGGTCTGGGCCTTCAACTGTGTTCCTGGCAGCCTGCCAACCTGCCCGTTTAGGGTCTTTCTTTTATGGGGCGGCCCCACCCCCAGACCGTCCCGCTCCTGCAGTAGCTAGCAGCCGGGTCCAGGGGGTATGGTATTTTCGATTTTCTGAGCTTCTGGGTCCAGAATGGGCATGGCGAAGAGATTAGCCCACGGCCGGCTCCCGCATTCGGATGCAACCACCAAGTTCTTCGGTACTGTAGTAGTAGTGTCATTGCTTCGTGTTTGGCCACATGCCATTTCTACTCTCTATGCCTGAATTCGCCCCTCACATCCTGGCTCAGACTTGCCTTTACGACTTCATTGTCTCGCAGGGCCAGGTATTACAAGACGATGGGTTTCTGTACGAAACAACACGACCATCATGATATCCGGAAAGCCTCTGTGACTCAGAAGTATCTGTAATGTCATCACCGCCAGGAGGAAGTCGAGCCCGCACCGGTTCGTCTGTCTCACGACAACGGCGTTGTGCCTTTGACCTTTCCACTTTCCATCTTTGCTGTTCGGGAGCCGAACTGGATCTGTTGCAACCAAGTTAGAACCAAGCTTCCAGACGGAAATGACAACCCAACTCACGGCCCGCTTCTTCTCAGTCGCCACCTGGCTCATGCCGAGTTCCAAAGCAACCAGTCTCAAAACCCGCTTGCCCGCTTCAACAACCCCATCGGGGTTACTGAAATCGCATTTCTCCCATGCTGGGGTCCCAATGGCCCATCGCACCAGCTCTTCGTCCAGATACGGGAAGCGTACTTCTTTTCCCCAGTGCGACATCACTCGATCATCTCTGCCGAGGTTCCGCTTTCCTAGCCTGCTAACGTCAAGTTTGAGCTCGTCGACCAGCCCCGGATAGCCTTGTCTCTGGTAGGCTGTCGCATGACGTTGATAGCCTCCAAAGAGCTCATCGGCGCCAAGCCCTGAGAGAAGCACTCGCGCCCCTGTGGTACAGTCTGCTGAGGCAGTTGTGGTGGCATCTGTGATAGCCACGCCCTGACCCCGAGCAGAAAAGTACAGAGCACAAGCTATGGAGAGGTCCATCTCGGTGTTGTGGGGGTAAATGAGAGATACAACCTCGGCCTTGTGGCTTGAATACTCGGAGTAAGGGACATTGACCTGCCTTGGGTTTAAGTATTGAGGCCGCGGGATTAGGCATCTAGGGAAAGACGTACTGCGATAAAGTTCCAGGCCCGCCCAGGACAGACTTCCTGAAGTTCGGCGAAGGACTTCCTTCCCGTCATCCTATCCGGGCAGGCCTCATAGATGTTGAATGAACCTGAGTCCTCCTGGCCCCTCAGCTTCTGAGCGTTGGCCGCGACTCGAGGATTCTCAAACGCGACATTGATCAAGTCGATAGACTGTTCAAGAGGAATGAGATCGTGACACATTCTCGCAATCACAGTACAGTCCAGCCCACCGGAGAACAATACAGCCACCCTCGCACTTTGCTGGTGCTCATCAGCTCCTGGTGGTAAAGGCACATTGAGGACGCGCAGTCTGAGAGACTCTGTCAGCTGCTGACGCAGGGCCGTCACTGGTGGCGAGCCGGGTGCTAGGCGAACGTCTCCTTCGGGGACATCTGAATTAAAATGGCCAATGTTGGAAACCTGCATGAGTAAGTCCCGGGTACTTGCTGGGAGTACGATGTAACAACCCGATGAGTAGCAGCAGTAAACTCACAAAATCTACTGCGTCATCCTCATCCAACCAACTCAGTCGTGTTGTCGCACGGTGATTATCTTCAGAGGAATTATGTGAGTGAATGCTCGCCGCATCCAGGACGTAGATGCCGTCAGCCTCAACCTCCCTCCACTGCGGGTTGACTGCATCTGCAATGCTGGACAGCGTAACGCGCTGGCCTTCTTCGAGTAGCACCAATGATCGACGCCCAAGGCGATCGCGACCATAATATATCTTGCTTGATGGCTTATCAAAAAACACGAATGCGAATGGGCCGTCGATGGACCGGAGTACCTGCAAAATGGCAGCCTCACGCTCTCCACGGTGCCGCCTCACGGCTTCACCCAGGAGAGCAGCTATCGCTTCGCCATCATTGCCGGATACGTCATGGTGACGAATCTTCCAGGCTTCCCCGTTCCAGCAAAGTATCGAGCCGGTCTCGGCGTCGACGAACGGCTGCTGGGCAACGTGATCACCACGAAGAGCGAGGACCGAGGAGGTGAAGGAGAGGTGAGTCGTGGCTGCGCCGTCGACCAGCTGCGTCTCGAGAGTGGTGATGTGATCTGGGCCCCGGCCACAGAGACATCGTCGCAGATTGGCTGTGATGGCTGCTGGATGCGATGCAGATATCAAAGCATGGATCCCGCACATGTTGCCATGGGTGTGCAGCTAGGCTTGACATTGGTTCAAGTGAGAAGCTCGGCGAGGAGCTCGAGGCTTCACCCAAGGCTCTGCGTTTTCAGGGTTTGCAGCGGAGCCCTGGGTTAGACTTCAGGGTTGTGACACTCAGGGTTATGACCTCGGCCATCAACCAGAATTCTGAATTTCCAATATTAATACCACTATTCGCTGCAGGGAAGGTCGCGCACATTTGCTTGAGCATTGCAACAGAACCAATTCAGTTGGTGCTCATTGAAATATTACTTTGAATTCGGGCATCCGATCATGCGAGTTGGTATTTGAGTTTTTCGTAAGCTCTACGCCTGCTTCTCTGCATCGTTCTCAGTCCACTTCACCTTTCCGTACTTGTGCCTGAGCTCATTGATATAAATATCCTCGTCTTTGCCCTCAGCCACCACCTCTGCTCGGATCAAAGCCCTCATCTGGCAAACGAATACAGACAGATATACACATATGAGTATGAGCGTCATCGCCGTCCCCACCCACTGGATAGCCTTACTTTCAAACGCTTGGCCGATGTTGATAGTGGCTATCGTGAACCCAACATTAGGAAAAATGCAGGCATACCAGCTCATCGAGAAGGAAATAGCTCTCCAGCACATCAGACAAGACGCCAGGGCAAGGCAGAAGAACCAGAAAGCTGAAGACCATATGAAGACGCCCGTCATCGTCGCCATAACCTGCAGTATCTGACTCGTCACCTCGTCGTCACCGAAGTAGTTATAATAGTGGGTTGGCCACGCCTTCGCCAGGCCAATGAGCGCCAAAGCAGTAAACCCGGGTGGTCCGACGGCAATGAACATCGCGGGCCGGGAGTGAGGGCTCGGCAGTCCGAACTGGACCATGCGGCGGATGTAACATGCATACATCATGATAGAAACCAGCATCCCGAGTCCTTGCGCCGTCAACCCCGCTACAATCATCGGTATCGCCTGATCTGCCGGCTGTCCGCCGGAGCTGCCAGCTCCGATGGTTGCGATCGTGCCCGAGAGCATGAAGGGGAAGATCGGGAGATCCCAAGCAGGCGTCATGTCGTCAATTTTCAGTTTGGGTGACGCAAAAAGGACCAGGTACATTCCCACAGCGTAGATGAATGTAGCGGCGAAATAGACCCAGAAGAGGATCCTCCAGACCACGACCAGCCAGTAACCGCAGTTCGGGATACCGTAGCGAACGACAGATCCTATGATGCTTGCTAGGGAGAGGAAGAAACAGGCCGCTGTCGTATACTTGTGATTAGTATCCCTGCAGGCAGAAGCATTGATGACGCCCAAGTCAATCTTACAGAAGAGGCCTTCGGTTGGGTGTGTGAGGGAGGCCAGGAATGTGCCTTTGTATTTGATGAAACGGGTGACAAGAGCGCCGGTGACCAGGGTGAAAAGCACGAGGTCGAATATGTACAAAACCTTCCCGATGGTTTGTTGGCCGTAGAATGTATTCGGTTGTGTGCCCTCCGAGATAAGTAATGTTATACCACCAGTACTCATCGTCAGGGTGTAGTTTGCCCATGTAAAATGTTCCAACCGACCGAGAATATCTCCTCGGCTCTCACGTTTATCGGCTTCGGCTACATTGTATTTTTTGTTCAACTATTTATCTATTCATTATCTTCTCGACTTTTAAACTAGCCATTAGCTCATACCTCAAGCATAAAGTTAATAATTGCTTAATATATACCTTTAAACTTATCTATATATAAAGTTATTAGCTTCCTTTATAGGGCTCTCTCTTCTATTATATTCCTTATATATTATATAGAAGTAAATAAATCCTTAATAATAAAATAGTATATTTAAAAAAGGAAGATTTAATCTTTAAATACCTAGATTTCTACTTTCCTTATATAGTATTTATTTAATATATAGTAAATAAACTTTATTTAATTTTTTAAAAAAGTTTTAATTTTTTTATAAAATTTATATAGAAAGATTTTTTTAAATAAATTTATTATTATAGTATTATTATTTTATTAATTATATATTTAAAATAGGGATTATAGTATATTTAACTTACTTAATAAAGGTAGATTTAAGTAGTTATATAATAAGTATATTAATAAGGAAAAGTTAACTTATTAAATCTTATATTATAAGATTTTTCTTTTATAAAGGCTATTTTAAAAGATTATTCTAGTTTCACTATATAACTACTTTATTAACTTTAACTCTAATATTATAGTAAATTAGCTTTTAGGCTATTTATATTAATAATTCTAATATAGTGCTATTAAGAGTAATGCTTTCTAACCTTATTTATATAGTATAAAATTTAGTTATATACTTATAAATATATTATATTCTCTTTCTACTATTATTAATACTATATTTCTTTAAATACTAGGTTTTAAGTATTTATTATTATATAAAAGTGTTATATATATTTTATATATATAGGGATTAAAAACGAAACTACTCTTATATTTATTCTCGTATTTCTTATAGTCGATTTAGTGCCCATTTTTACGGTGGCCGGACGCGCTATTCGAGTTTAAGTTTTAGTTGTCGTTCATTGTGTCTATCCCGTCTCTAGTCGCTAGCTTGCTCGTGGGCCAAGGTGCTCTTTAAGGCTGCCACTCACTACACTTAGTGTAATTAATATAGTATAATACATATAAATATACCCACTATACCCCATTATATTAAAGGTATTTTAAAGTCTATTATATTATATTAAAGTATTTAATATATATAATATAGTAGGTTTAGAATTTAAATATAAATAGGGGGGGTTAAAGAAGAAAGGAGAGAAAGAGAGAGAAAAGCTAACTAAGTAGTGAGTTAGTAAGGGCCTCTATACCTATAGACACCCTATATAAAAAATACCTACCTACCCCTCTTTTAGGTAGTTAAAAGAATTCAATCCTTCTTCATTTCTCTTCTAAATACATTTAAATTAAGAGATTTTTACTATCTTCCTTTACCCTATATAGACGCTTCTTTAGGCCTATAGTTAAGTGCTTAATTAACCTATTTACACTTTAATTTATTAATAGATAATTATAAAAAGATTTTTTATATAAAAAGGAAATTTAATCTATATATATATTTATATTTAGTAGCTATATTTATTAAATATCCTAATTATTAAAAATAGATTTTTAATTATAAGTTTTTTAATAACTATTAATAGAAAGCCTACTTTTATAACTTAATTATATATATAGCTTTATTTATATATATTAAAGAAATTAAAATAAGCTTTTAAAAACTTAAAAGTAATTATTAATTAAAAATAATAGTTATTATTTTAATATAAAGAAGAATAGTTTATTAATATAGGGAAATATTTAAAATATTAAAAACTTTAAGGTACTTTTAAATAAGAATCTAGTAAACTTTAAAAAAAAAATGGAATAATTTTCTATCTATTTTAATATAAAATAGTTAAGGGGTAAAACTTTTTATTAAAAGACTTAAAGGTAGTAAAGTTTAGGTAATAAAAGGTTTATAATATACTTTATAAATATAAAATATTAGAATTATAAACTTAATTAAAATACTAACTTTATTTTATTTATATAAAACTATTAAATAAATTAATTAATATAAAATTTACTTTAAATAAATTTATTTACTCTTTATTTTATTAATAAATAAGCTATTATATAAATATTTATATATATATATATAATTTAGTATTTAAAAAGGTTAAAGTTAATATAAGTAACTTAACTCCTTTTAAAATATTATTAATAATCTTTTATTTATAATAATAATAAATTTAAGTTAAAGCTTATTAAAGTTATTTAAATAGTTAATACCCTTAACTCTAATACCTTTAATATTATTAATATTAGAAATAGTTATTAATAAAATAACTTTAATAATAGTAATTTATTGCAGCCTATTATATAATTACTTAAATAGGTTCCTACTATAAGGGCGTAATAGTCTCTATCTATTTAAGTAAACTTTTATAATTTTAAACTTAAACCTTTTATAAATAAAAATATTATAAATTATTTAAAATATTTTAATAATATTTAACTTTTTTAAATATACTATTTAAATATATTTTAAATATATTAAAAGGTTTAATAGCTTTTTAAAAATAGCTATTAAAATTAATCTTTATATAATTAATATAAGTAATTAGGTAAATTAAAAACTTAATTAAAAATATATTTTAAAATAAAAATATTAATTAATAGTATATTTTTAATTAGTAATTTAAATAATTTATATTAAATTACTTTATTATTAATATTAACTCTTTATAATATATAATTTATAATTATAATTAATTATTTTATAAATTTAACTAAATAAATAAAAGCTAGTTAGAAACTTTTAAAAAGCTTCTTTTATATTATAAAATAACTAGCTTTAAACTATAATATTAAAATAAAGTATCTTTTAAAAAAGTAGTTATAATTAATAAAATACTTATAAAATATAATAAAGAATATATAAAATAAAATCTAATAAAATTAAAAACTATTAAATATAAGATTAAAATAGATATTAAAACTATTTAATAATTATATAATTATAATAAATTTATACTTTATATTTTAAATAATATTTATTAATATAGTTAATAAAAATATTTATAAATATTAAAGTATATTAAGATTTATAATAATAAAGCTTATAAGTTTAAACTAGCTTTAATAAACTAATTAATTAATATTTAATTAACTATAATAATAAAATAAAATATGCTATTTTTAATAGTAATTTTATAAATATTAAATCTCTTAAAGACTCTAATAAGTTTTTAAAATTAAGAATTTAGTTAAATAATTTAAAAATAGAAATAACTATATTTAAATAATAGATAGAAAAATAGGTTAAGTAATTTATATTAAAGTAAAATATATATAGTATTATAAAGTATAATATTAATTAAAAGTGCTTTTAAAGTAAATAAAGAATTATAAAAATAAGAAACTAATAACTATTAATAATATAAGTATTTTATATAAGTTAATATAGAAAAGTAATAAGAATTTAGTTATAATTTAAAAGAGTTTAAAATTATAAGGGATAATTTAAATAATATTAATAATTAAACTAACTTATAAATTAATATATTATAAAAAATAATATAAAAATAAATTACTATAATTATTTAAATATTAATTATTTTATTATAAAATATTTAATATTAAGATTAATAAAGAATAAAAGGTTTTATATTATAAAAATTATTTAAAAATTAATTTTAATTTAAATTAAAAGATAAAGTATAATAAGGAATTATAAGACTTTTTAATTTTATATAGTTAACTATTATAAGTTAATAAAAGGGATTATTATTTATATTTATAAAATTCTTAAATATCTTTTAATAAAAGTATTAATAAAACTTAAATATTTAAATATATAAATTTAATTAAAAGAATAAAATTTATAAAAGAAATATAAATCTAGCTATTAATAAAATATTTTATAAATTTTAAGGAAGCTTTTATTTTAATTTATAATATAGTTTAAAATAAATTAGCTTAATTATAATAGTTAATTTAAAAAAAAAGAAATTTAATATTTTAATAAAATATTTATATTTAAATAAGAAAGTTAGGTAGATAATAATACTATATTTATTAGTTAATTAATTAGAAACTAATACTAATAGGGTAAAAAGAAGAAGCTAGAAAGCTACCTCTCTTATTTTATATAGTAGAGGACTTAAAAAGGAATACTTTTAAATATTAAACTTTAAGAAAGTTTACTTAACAACTTCTATAAATTTAAATAAACTTGCATAGCCTAAAAATATTTAGACTTTTAAGCTAGAAGCTAACCCTATAAAATTAAAAAAATTGAAGGCTAAAATTAAATAATTGAATCTTATATTAATTTTAGAATTAATTATTTTATAGTTTTTTAAAATATTTAAAGGTTTTATATAAAATAAACTTATTATAATTTATTTAGAGTTAGGTAATTATATTATTAAGTATATTTAAGTAGTTTAAAATAAAGTAGAGGAAATAGTATATATAAGTAAAGAACTAATAGTTAGTATTAATTAGAGAATAGTTTATATAGCTTTATTTATCTTTTACCTTTTAATAGTGTGAAATATAACTATAATTGGAATTTTAAATATATAAAGGGTATTTAATTTCTTTAAAAGTAAGGGCTCTTTAATCTTCTTTAAATTAATATTCTTTTATAAATAATAAATTTAATAATAAAGTTATTAATAATAAGGTTATTAAGTTTAATATTATAATAAATTAAATATTAAATAAATATATAGTTTAAATTAACTTATTATTTATATAGTTTAGTAGCCTAAAATATAAGTATTTTAAGTATTAATTAATATTAGTATAATAATAAATATTATTAGTACTTTATATATAATAAATTTTTATTACCTTATATTTTTTTTTTTAATTATTTTTAATAATATATTAATTAATATAATTAAAATAATAAAATAAATATATATATAACTAGATATTAAGATTATATACTTTTTTATAATTAATTAGGAAGAAGTTAATTATAAAGTTTTATTAGAATATCTTTTT